GCCACCTAATGAGAAGGAAGGACTCACTGGAGAAGAGCCTGATGCTGGGAAAGATTGAGGGCAATAGAAGAAGGGGACGACAGAGAATGAGGTGGCTGGATGGAGTCACTGAAGCAGCAGGCGTGAGCTTAAATGGACTCCAGAAGATGGTAGAGGACAGGATGGCCTGGAGGAACGTGGTCCATGGGGTCATGATGGGTCGGACACGACTTCGCAACTAACAACAGCAATCCCCAAAGACGGCAGAGCCATCTTATAAACTTTATTTTTCTAACCTTTCATAAACGTTAGTTCAATTCTCTTCGTCTTGAATTCCACAGGAGATATGCCTGAATTATATAAATAGATTACATAGACATGTCAAGCTCGTGACGTCACGTGATGTCGCGCGACATATCAGAGCTTTTTCCCATTTGTCGACAATGGGGTGGGTGCGGTTTCGTGACACGTCCGGCCCGTGGGCCGGCAGTTTGACGCCCCTGATATAGAGAAATCTAAATATATAGATTTGTATTTTTAAAGTATGAACTGAAATTTTGACCCCTGAAAAAAGAGGAAGTGTTGTGACAATAGCAAGAGTCCAAGGCTTGTGGCAACATCTTCTTTGTATTGTCCCTGTGTCTATGGTCTGTTCACCTGGTCCAAGGGATTCTATCAACACCTCTCCATATTTCACGTTATTGTTTCTGACTGGATTTTTCAAAATCTAAACAGGTTTTATACCCAAGATGTAAAATATTTTAAATACCAGTCATTTTGCAAAGATGTTCAGCAACGTAAAAGGGGGATAATAACAAGTTGCTAACTGGAAAAATGCTGTACCATGTCCAGAGGTTTCCTCATCTTTTCCTCATATCTGACAATTCATCTATGCTCCCGAAATTCTGAACATACAGAAGTCTTTAGGCTGAGTTCCCCACCATGTAAAATGACATCACTAAGAGATGATTTCAGGGAAAAAGCATCATGCAAGCATGTGTGAGTGCGTGCACTCACAATGCTCCTTTTGAAGCATCTTCTCAAAAAAATGTATCTCCATTTCCATGGATTTTGTTCATTATCTTTTTCTGATTCTCCTTTGTCACAGGGATGGTGAGCTCCTTGTGAATTGCTGGGTATGTTGATTATATAGCAATGGTGTTAGTTAAGAAAGTACTCAAAGTGAATGCTGGAGAAAAACAACATTTGATTACTTTGTTCCATGTTCTTTCTTTCTTCTGCAGTCCTCAGTCTGAGGTGTAGAAAATAAATTGGGGGTGATTGTGTTATGTTCCCATAATGTTATTAAAGGGAAAAGAGGACCGTCTTAGCAATCCAGAAGACTGGTATAATGCTACTCTTCATTTCATCTTCCTACAGATTATCCTTCAAAAATCTAATTGATGATGATTACTTTGCGATTCAAAGAATATTTTTAGCGATGGTGTTAAACATTTAAATGTTTTAAATGACTAAGCTGTCAATTTTAACACTAAAAAATGATGGCAAGGACCAACATCTTTCACACAACAATCATTCAAACCATTATCATGTATTTTTTTGTGCTTTGCTTCTTCTGATGCTGAACACTGCTTAACATTCATGACTCATGACTATGAAGGGCAATCTTTGAACGTTTAAGGCTGGGTGGCAGGATGATCAGGCCCACATCTTGCAACACAGAGTTCGTCAACAAACGGAGCAAACACACTTGCAAATTATAGTTTTGTAATATCAGAATGACCCTTGTGAACTTGCACGCAGACAAATGGCTATTAATTTTTCAGCACTTAACTATGCATGATCTCTATAACATCATGAAAAAAATCACTTAAATTATCCATCCCATAAAAGGAAGCAGTAATCTGAGGAGAAATACCATAATTTGCGTGGTGTCTGTAAGAATTTATTTGTGCTGACTACAGAGCACGATATTCTTAAGTGAACAATTCCATCGTGATAAGGAAAGGAGCGATATTATTTTTAACACGTAAATTTTAATTAGCTAGCATTCTGACTGTTCTAAATTTACAGAGATTAATAATATAGTTATTTTTATGGCTTGAATTCTGCTGTATTATACATTGATTTTGAGTGGGATAACTTTGAAAGTCTGGTAGTTCACACTAGCGTAATAAATAAAACAATGGGATTATTAACTTTCTATTGTATGCTTGGCGTGTCCCATTAGGATCCCTAAGTAAATACAAATTATGAGAAGAAAATTACAGATTTATGAACTAGAAGACCTTCTCCTAGTCTAATTCAGCATTTTTTACAAGGTTTTCCAGTGCAACTCATCTGCATGTAATTGTCCATTCACATGATTAGAACTCTTTTTAATGTCAAGGTGAAAGTGCCCATCAGACTACTTCTGGTTAGAAATGCCATCTTACATTAATTTCTGATTTCCTGAAGAGAAAGCTGACAATTTTCCCCAACACCCCCCCCCCCCCGAAGGAAAGAAACCTCAATAACTCTGAGCTTGATGTGGCTACTATAAATTCAGTAGATACATCAAATGCTTATTACTTTTGGACCAATCTTCAGAAGCCATAACCGCTCAAACATTAGGACTGCGAACGACAGATCCAACAAGATCCTTCAACATGTCCATTTCTAACACCAGAAGACATTGAAAAGGGGGAGAGGAATTCCAATGCAACTCAACTCTCAAATCAACTCATAGCTTAGTCTAGAAATGGACTTGCTTGGTTTTTCTCAGCCTTTTTTGAGAGCAGAGAAATGATACTGCAGTTGTATCTCTCTCTCTCTTTGGAAAAATCAAAAGTCAAAGTGGTTTTGCAGGTCACTGCAGCATTTCAAGCAGTAATAAAAAAAGCAGACCAAATTAGTTCCCAGCAGTCCCAAATATGAGATAGGAGACTTAGAAATTGGGGTCATTTAAAATTTGGAAATGATAAAAGATTCAACGTTAAATTTAAATATCAATGGGAAATTAGAGTTAAGAAAAACCTACTAGGTTACAGTCTAAATTAAAGATGGAATGTCAAATCAATTAAGATATGTATAGACTGAAGATTATTGATGCATACTAGAAAGGTATTTTCTGTTTGATTGATAGAATAAGAACTGTGTTGGTCCGAATATGAGACAATAGATATTATGGGGGAAAGAGAGGGAATTAGTTTGTTGTTAATACTTTTGAGATTTGTACTGATGATCTTCAAATGTAATGGAACTACTGTGCTCAGCCGCCACGCTACTTTTCAAATATGTAGATGTAATATTGGAAAATTAATTAAAAAATTGGGGGGGGAAACAAATTAGTTCCCAGGAGACGAGCAATAAGTGTGCACCTTGTCAGTTACATCTTGAGACCTACCTCACAAGAAGGCATGCATTTTCTGCCCTAACCGAGAGATTTTAAGAATTATCATTCCTAATCATGCGGAAGGAGGAGCCCTTATCCATAGATCCGTTATTCCAGAAGCATAACCTTATCTTTTAGTTCAGTGATGGCGAACCTTTTAGAGACCGAGTGCCCAAACTGCAACCCAAAACCCACTTATTTATCTCCAGGTGCCAGGTGGGCATGGCTGTGGTCATGGCAGACTGGGTGGTTGTGGCCAAGGTGGGCATGGTCACTTCGATGTTGCTCGTGGGGAGGGACGCCTGTGGGGGCCAGGCAGGGTTGGGGGAGATCCAGGGGGTCTCTGGCAGGTGGGGCGGTGGGCAGGAGGCTCGTCCTGTGGGGTGAGACGAGGCAAGGCGAGGTAGGGTGGGGGTGCCATTGTGGCAGGGCAAGGTGAAGCAGGGGCCGGGGCAGCTGCTGCCTGACACCATCGGCCCCCGCACACAGAGGCCAGTGAGCGCATGGGGGCCGACAATGTCCGTCAGCAGCCACAGTCTGCCGGCCCCTCGACCGGCGCACTCTGGGGCTCCGCAGCCCGCCGCCAGCAGTTCAGAGAAGCTGCCTCTGAGCTGGCCGGCCGGCCGACAGCTGAGGAGGCGATGCAGTGGATCATGCTTGGGAAAAAGAGAGCATGCGAGGCCAAGAGGGATGGGATGCGGGGGTGGGAAACCAGCCATGTTGGGATGCATCCGGCACGTGGGACCTCGGCGAGTTAGCATGCGGCTGGTTGAAGAGGGACGGTTGCCATCTCCAGGGCATGGCGTGTGTGCCCACAGAGAGGGCTCCGAGTGCCGCCTCTGGCACGCGTGCCATAAGTTCGCCACCACTGTTTTAGTTCATCCTGCCCACCCTTGGCTTGTTTAAAAAAACCTCATTCCTAGCTGTCTCCCCAGGGTGACTTCCCCACTAGGCGACAGCCCAACACAGAAACCGCACACCGTACACCTCGTCCAGAAGCCACGGCGGTGAAAAAGATCTTGACTTAAGTGGAACAAAAACCCACAAACCTCCCGCCACACCAAGACAGAAAGCCCTGGGAAAACAAGCCAGCCACCCACCCATCCTGAGCAGCAGCACTCCCTCCAAGGACTGGCTTGCAGCTGGGTGGCATGATGGTCTTGCTGGGAAGAAGCCAGGCTGGCTGGGGGGAAGAAAGGGGGCCAGGAGGGAAGAATGGGGGGGAGGGTCGGGCAACTGCACCCCCTGAATGCTGGCTGCCACCTTTGCCCAGGTTGCCCCCCCCCCTGGCCCTGAGCTGGCAGCCAGAGCGGCTCTCCTTCCCACCCGGGGATGGGAGCCTTTGCAGCAGGGGAGCCGGAGGGGCGCTGGCTCCAGCCAAGGAGGGGGATGGGGGGATGGTGAGACGGGGGACCAGGGTCTGGCCAGCCTCTGGGAGGGGAGGGGGCGGCCCCCGCCTGAACCCCTGCCCTGGCCGATCCGCAGGGGAGGGTCTCTGCTTCCCCCTCCCCAAGCAGAGCCACCTTTCCTGGAGGCTCCCTTTGGAGGGGGGGTGGGAGAGCCGCGCCCACCACCCTCTCCCACCCACCCACCCTCCCCCGGGGCGGCTGGGCCTGCCTGCCTGCCTGCCTGCCTGCCTGCCTGTCCCCGGGAGGCCGGGCCGAGCCGAGCCGGGCGGGGCACTCACGATGGTGACGCTGGCCTTGCGCAGGTCGCGGTTCTCCTCCTGCAGCGCTTTGCACTTGAGCTTGTAGGTCTCCAGCTCGATCTTCAGCACCTTGTTCTCCTGCTGCAGCGAGGCCAGCCGGTTGGTCAGCTCCTCCAGCCGGAACGGGGAGATCACGATGCCGCCCGCCTTGCCGGGGCCCGCGGCCGACGAGGACGACGCGCCCCCTCCGGGCCCGGCCGACGACACCCCCGGCGCCCCCGACGCTCCGACGCCGCTGCCGTCCGTGTCGCTCTCGCTGGCGCTGTCGGCCATGCCGGCAGCGAGACAGGCAGGCAGGCAGGCCGCGCTGCCGTCCGCTCCGCTGCTGCTACTGCTGCTGCTGCCACCCCTGCGTGGCCCCGCCCCGCAGCGTCGCGCCGCCTTCCGCCCGCCCGCCCGCTGGCCAAGAGGGGCGCCTCCGACGCCGCCCGCCGCGCCCACAGCGGCCCCTCCGGCGCCCTCCGGTACTGCACCCTCCTTCGCCGCCTCAAAAGGCTGCAGGATTAGGCCGCCTGGGCTCTTTTCTGACTCGTGGACTTCAACTCCCAGAATTCCTGAGCCAGCCACGCTGAGGGGAAAGGGAGAGCTTTCCAAGCTGAGCCATGCTGGCTCAGGAATTCTGGGAGTTGAAGTCCACGAGTCATGAAAGAGCCAAGGTGGCCTACCCCTGGCCTAGGCCTAGGCCATTTTATGACTCGTGGACTTCAACTCCCAGAATTCCTGAGCCAGCCTCGCTGAGGGGAAAGGGAGAGGTTTCCAAGCTGAGCCATGCTGGCTCAGGGATTCTGGGAGTTGAAGTCCCCGAGCCAAGGTGGCCTACCCCTGGACTAAAGCAATGCAAAACAAAGCTAACCATTTCATATTTCTGCTTTCTAAACCAAGCTTGCTTAGCATAAACTGGGCATTCTGGATGTCAGCCATATGAAGCCCTAATTCCTTAATTTGTCCTCTTTCCACAAGCTTCACCTTAGATATATAGTTCAGGAGCCACAAGAAAGGAAGGAAGACAGAATGTTTTTATCTGTATTATTTTCTATGTAAGCCAAGAATCTTATGCTTACTAAGGTGTAGATCAGGGGTAGGCAACCGTGGCTCTTTTATGACTCGTGGACTTCAACTCCCAGAATTCCTGAGCCAGCCACGCTGAGGGGAAAGGGAGAGGTTTCCAAGCGGAGCCATGCTGGCTCAGGAATTCTGGGAGTTGAAGTCCACGAGTCATAAAAGAGCCAAGGTTGATCCTTTGCGGACCGGGACTGCCGGCAACCAAGAGCCAGCCTGGCTCTCCTTGCTTCCCAAGGCAGAGCTCACCCTTCAAGGTCACAGGCCCCGGTCTCTTTTTCCGGGCAGCCTCTCCCATCAGACGAGCTGAAGCCTCCCAAAGTCCCCTTGGGGCTGGCAGCAAAAGTGGGTCTGTGGGGAGACCGCCTGGATCTGCTGGGCAAGGCAACCTGCAACCTTGGCTCTTTTATGACTCGTGGACTTCAACTCCCAGAATTCCTGAGCCAGCCATGCTGAGGGGAAAGGGAGAGGTTTCCAAGCTGAGCCATGTTGGCTCAGGAATTCTGGGAGTTGAAGTCCACCAGTCACAAAAGAGCTAAGGTTGCCTACCCCTGTCTTGGGCTACAGCTTCCCTCTTTGGTCTCCTGATAGTGGAAATTCAATCAAAACCTGAATTTATAGAAGAATGGTCACTTAAAGTCTCAAATTTAGCAGAAATGGCCAAGATTTCCGCTTATGTGAAGGATTATTCACAAGAAAGATATATTTCGGTTTGGAGAAGATGGATAGATTATATTGAGAAGAAATATGGGACCAAAAAGTTCCATTTGGTTTTTGAGTGAATTTTAGAGTATTATTGTTGTTATACAGTTTATTTATCCTTATTTTTAATTATTAATATGATATTATTATTATTGTGTCTAATCTTAATATATTTTATGTTAAAAAGAGAGTTAAAGGATTTTACAGATTTGTTATTCTAATAATTGATTAATGTTAGATAGAATATGATTATCCTATTGTTAATCCTGTGATTAGCTCTGGGAAGTGGGGGGAAAGGGAGGGGGGAGGGGGAGGGAGGGTTTTGGAGAGGGGGGCAATTATATTGTAAAACTTTTATAAAACTTTTAATAAAAAAAACCTGAATTTAATTGTGGTATAAAGCAGCCTTCCTCAAACTGATGCTGTGACCTGGAGACCCTAACATACATGGATCGTATGAACTGGATATCCTTGACACGTTCACCCTTGCTTCTGAGAGCACCTGTATCCTAAAGTGCTCATGGATAGGGTGTCTACTCCTCCTTCCCATTTTTGGATACCAAGACTACCTTTGTTCTTCTCTACTGGCACCTCTGGATTTTTCTGAGATTATAATCTGCACTTCTGCCGGAGAGGAATTTCAGATCATGGGAACATAATTTGTTTAGGGTAGCAAGGGGGCTTCTTGTGATGCCTCCTTTATCTCCCAGAAGTTGGGTTCTCTTCTCTTCCTCAGACATCTCAGCCATGGCTCTCTCCCTCTTCTGATAGAAGGATGACATGAAACAGGTCTTCCCCATCTAACTTCCTGTGGACGAGGCTCTCTTCCTTCCCAGGCCTTCCTCACCCCAGCTCATCTTTAAGTTCCCTTTCAGCTTCAGATGATGGCTATGGCCTTTTCATCTCCCTTTTGCTTTTCAGCTTGTCCATGAGGTCTACGTTCATCTCTTTAAGCTTTCCTCATTTCATTACACTCATTTCTGCCTGCATTTTCAGGACCTCTGTAGAACTTCAAGGCCTGGAACACTGCCCGACGTCCATCTCTGGTTGTTAAAATCTAACTTCCTGAAGTCCAAAGTACATAAACTGCTTCTTCAAATTCTCCTCACCGAGGTGGCTTCGATTCCAGTTTGACATGGTTACTTTCTTTCAGAAGACGCCTGACGTCTTCAGTCGGTCAAACCGAGAGCTGAGATTAGTCCAGAATAGCTGACCTCCTTGTTTCTTCTCCCCTCTTCTGAAAAAATCCCATTGTTTGCAAGAAAAAATGGAAATCTACTAGATCCCTTTTTCCCCCCCTGCAAGTCCCATCCCATTGGGATGTCGTCTTTCTCCTTGAGACCATCCTCACGTCTCCCCTCCTCCTGAACAGTTGCCTATCCTCCTCAAATGTTGTGTATTGCTGGCCTTCAAGAAGATCTGTGTCTTCTCTGATGAGTCTTTAAGAAGAAAACATTGGTAGATTTCTGGTTTTGCGTCACGGTAAGACGGATGCAGGAAGGCAGGGCTCTGCCTTCCACGCCCGATTTCACCCTGCTGGAGGCCCTAAAAAGGCCTAAAGTCGCCCCAAAGAGGCGATGAAGAAGGAGGGGTGCCTTGTCGATCATGGAGAAACGGCGGTCTTTCCGTTCGATCCAAGGAAAGCCCTCCAAACCGGCAGGGGAAAGACTGGCTACATTCCTGTGGCCAGCCATTAGCTGCTGACAACCGAAGAAGAAAGGCACTAATTAGCATCGTAAATAGCATGTTTGAAACTGGATAAGAACATTGATTCTTTACTATTTTACAACTGAATTTCCTGGGAAAGGCTCCCAAGAAGCTAAAACCTCCAAACATGAATGGAAGCAGCGTTTTAATTTCTTTTATGGGGGACAGAAATACATAATACTGAAGTGGAAGTAACATAAAGCTACAGTTTTAATAAATTTGAGAACTGAGATAATTGTTAAAATTTTCTCTTTAAAAGAAACATTTGAGGTGAAGAACTAACTTTCTGGCTGCTTGGTAACTCCTAGTTTAATGAGAATGGAAAAATAGTAATGTTAAACTAGCCATCTGTTCATCTGGTGTTCACCTATACCATGGGTAGGCAACCTTGGCTCTTTTATGACTCGTGGACTTCAACTCCCAGAATTCCTGAGCCAGCATGGCTCAGCTTGGAAACCTCTCTTTCCCCTCAGCATGGCTGGCTCAGGAATTCTGGGAGTTGAAGTCCACGAGTCATAAAAGAGCCAAGGTTGCCTACCCCTGACCTAAAGAAATCTGGTTGAGAGTCTGAAAGCCCTTGGGCATTACACAAATAACACAAAGGTGTGAATCCAGGGTCATCAAGAACACTTCTCAAAGGTACGGTAGTTTGCAAAAAGATAAAGAAAATGCCAGAGTTTCAATCTATCCCCTTGTTACTGAAACAGCGGCTTTGATACTGATAAGCAGCACAATTTATACACCCACCTTCCATTGTCTGGTTGAAAGAATGGAAAAATCTCAAGAGGCTCCCCCCCAAAAAAAATATCCCTTCATACCCTGTGCATGTCAGTCAGCATTAAAATAGATGGCATTCCCACTGGTTATTAAATGACACAATTGTTGGTAGTTGGAAAAAAGTTTATCTTCCCATTCCCCGGACAGAAAGTTTCTACTTTCATTTCATTTCATCTTCTACTTTCATCTTCATTTGTATTTCCAGAATTATATTTGTTCTCCATCTGTGATCCAGTCACCCTTCAGCTGTGCGTCAGTAAAACAATCTCTGCGCTCCTTTAATGGTTCACATATCACTTGAAGTACAGAAATGGCTGTGTTTGTGAGAAAGGCCTAGGTAGGACCTTCGGCTCCAGAAGTGCTTGGCTCAGGAGGGAGATGAGATTTTGGCTTCATGGGGAGGGGGGGAGAACTCAGGGTCCTTGGCTCTGAAAATTGAGCATTCCCACCACCTCCAAGCCACCCCCAAAGGCCTGAGATGGAAGATCTCAGAGGTAACTATCAGCAGGCATGGAAAGGAAGAGAAACATGAGCAGCTCTTCTGGGAAAGAAAAAGAGAAATTGGGGGTGGGGGAAATTTGCTTTTCACAAAAGGCAGACCTGGATGAAAAGTGAAATAAAGAAGGGTGAGGAATAAAAAGACAGGTGCGACCCCAAAAAGGCAAGACAAGAAGCAACGGATGGAACTAATCAAGGAGAGAAGCAACCTAGAACTCGGGAGAAAATTCCTTAACATGGAGAACAATTAACCAGTAGAACAAAATGCCTTTGGAAGTTGTGGGTGCTCCATCACTGGAGACTTTTAAGAAGAGATTTGACAACCGTTTCTCGGAAACAGTGTAGGTTTCCCGCCTGAGCAGGGGGTTGGACTAGATGACCTCCAAGGTCCCTTCCCAACCCTTTTACTGTTACTGTTGCTGAGGAGGAGTGGAGCAATTCACCATCCCGAGGGGGGGAGAAAGGGGGAAGGCAAAGCTGGCTTAGGAGATTAACACCAGGCACACAAAGCATTCTGCAACCGCCACGTCATTGAAGTGTTTCAACACAATTTATTTTATGCTTAAATTATCAACTAGATCATCCAGTGTTTGTGGGTTTTTTTTGTTTTTCGTACATAAGTAATTAGAGCTATTATCAACCGATCCTGTTTCCGTATGAAGATAATTAACAAATTAAAAGTATTTCACCAAAAAAAAAACCCCAAATAAAAATGCCCTTTAAAACACAGCAGCCTTAACAACCTAATATTAATCTGCTAGGATGATTACACATGATTGGCTTCCTGAAAGATTCTACGTCTCAAGAGCCAGTACACAATAGAGTAATATTTTTTTACAGCGTGCTGCCACTCTGTTAGCTAAGAAATTCTCTTCCTTCTTTCTCTCCCCCCACTTTTTTTCTTAAAAAATATCCCCCACCAGCGCTCCCAAGAGCATCACCCCAAACTGCCAAAAGCTTCAAGCGTTTTCCCCCAGTGGAAAGCAGGACAGGTAGCACCCCACCTCCCCAAAAGCAACTACTGTATATGTTATGATTTCCGATAGGTTTGAGATCATTCCCACTGCAAAAACTGGCAGGAGCAACAAATATTAGATGGGGGGGGGGCTTTGCCTTTAGAGGTTATGGATAGGCTCTCAGAATCAGCCCTGCTCTCCAACAGGGGCCGTGTCCAGGCGGCCTCGGTCCCCCCACCCATGCCGAAATGAGGAGGGGTTCCTTGGCAGCGGTGATTGATGAATTGCGCCCCGGGACCTCATCCTGTCACCTCACAATCTAATATATTTGCAAAACTGGAAAAAGAGTTCATCAAAATAAGGCGGAACGCATGCATCAAAATATTGGTACTCCGGAGAGAATCCTTGGTTTCACAGAACTACAGAATTCCCCATCTTAGGAATCATTAAATTGGCGGGAGATTTTGAAAGATTTTTTTTTAAAATCAAGCTAGCCTTTTTTTTTTTTTTTTTGCATATACAAACATTATCATCGCTAAATGTACAAGAATCTGTGAAGATACACCCAGAATACACCTCGGCGGGTGTTAGCGGCCGTCCGAGACCCTGATTTTCTTTTCAATGCAAACGCACCATTCAGTTTGTGAGCTAGGAGGCAGTGCCTGATCAGCCTGGATCCTCTTATTTCTCTTTAGAATTTACATCGTGTTATTTACAATGAAACAAGCAATGTTAGTCTTCTTTTTTTCTTTAAAAAAAATGAAAACAAAACAACCCCCCCCCAAAGGTGTATTTTAGTACCCTGACAGTTTTGGGTCTGAGAAAAATAAGGCGAGCTATTGTGGATTTTAATCATTTTTAGTGCCTTTTTGTGGTTTGAACCGTTCTCCGGTGTCATTTGAATCTCTCTTGCAACAGGAATCCCTCCGTTTCGCCATGGGCTCGTGTTGCTTCCTTTGAAGCGGTCGCCTCGGAGCACCTTGGAACGTGTCCGTCACTTCTCGCTGCATCCTCTCCGATGGTGTGAATAAAAGTGAATTTCCATGCTCGTGTAGAACTGGCTCATGCTAAATTAATTTTTTTTTTTTTTTTGTGGTGTTCTTCACATAAAAACCATGCGGTTAATGTGTGGAAGCAGCAAACACACAGACGCGCGCGAGCGCACACACACACACACACTTTTGTCCGTGACTTGATAATTCCTGTTGATTTCATTCGTCTTCGAGTTTCTCTCTAGAATACTGGCAGTAAAAGCACACAGTCTTGGGTCGGGTGGAAAAAGGATGGGGAAGAGAGAAAGAGAAAGAATAGAAACGGGTTAGAAACGTCCGTTGGAATAGCATTGAGCCTTTCAACCACAAATAACAATTCTGCATTTCTTCCATAAAACAGATGATCCACCTTACAACCCCCGCTGTATTGACCCATTCGTCTGGTCCAGGTTAGGCCATGTTGGACCACATCTTCAGCTGCCCATAGACCGCTGAGTTACAGCATGTGAGCTTCCACCAAGAGAGTTGTCCTGGGCCAAGAGGATGAGTACTTGAAGTGCAAGGATTACCCACCCCTAGCTACCATATTAGAGCAAAACGGAAGCATAGCGAGAACAAGACAGATCTAGTGTTTTTCAAGATCTGCGCTGGTTAAACAAAGTTGGTTTTTAGCCACCTGTACAGGAAAATGTTTCTCAATTCAACGAGCTAAACAAATGAGATCAGAACAAAAAAATTCCATGTTTGAAGTTATCTGGCTTTGTAGGTTACAAAATGTAACTCACATCCAATCAGACTAGTAGTGGATGAGTAAACTTAAATGGCATAGTGCCCAGCCCGCTGAAGGACGGCCTGTCCCCCCCATCATATCTGTCTGATCAGGCAGCATCAGCTCCATTCAGGTTCCATCAATTAAGCTTTGTCAACCTAAAAAATGGGTCTTTTCTGTTGCAACCTTCTTCAAGTAAGCCCTAAATCCATAGTTATTCCCTCCAGTCATGGGTTAAGGTATTGGGGGCTACCTTTAGAATGTTTCTAATTGCTTTCTTCAGGCAATTGTGCTTTTTTTTTAAAAAAAATGTTACATAGTTTTATTCTGTTTTCAATGTTGTGCCCAGAGACATTTTGGGAGCCAGGCAATTTAAAAAGGAGTCAATAAACTAAATAAATACATAAAATATATATAAAAAATAAAGATAAAATTAGTGGAATTAGAAAAATCAAGAGTTCTCAGAACCTTGGTCCCTGAAGGCCAGTGGTGCCCTCTCTGTGGGCACGTGCGCCGTCACCCCAGTCCTAGGCCTTCAGCTGGGTTTTATAAAACCTTTTCGCTTTAGGCCTCCACCGCCATGTACAAAAAAAAAAAAAGGTTCAATCAATCAGTCAATTTCAACTTCTCGTAGGGAAAAAAAAAGATCTCGCAAAGTTGGAATTGATTGATTGAACTTTTTAGTCCCACCCAGTCTGCCGTTACCACCGCAGCCACGCCCACCCAATGGGCCATGCCCACCCAATGGGCCATGCCAACCCAATGGGCCACATCCAGCTAATGGGCCACACCCACCCGGCACCCGACAATGCATAAGTGGGTTTTGGGTTGCAGTTTGGGCACTCGGTCTCTAAAAGGTTCGCCATCACTGCTGTAGGTGATCCACAAAATTAACTTTTAAAGAACAGCCACCGCTGTGATTGTTACTTTAACAACTCTAGAAAATCCTCCCTTCTAACTTCCCCCCCCCCCAGAGATTTACTTCCCTCTGGACTGCAGGGCACTTCTCTGACCTTTGACCTCACTGTTCCCAGAGGGTCCCCATCTCATTTAATGGTGGAAGCCCCATCAGCCCAACGACGGAAGGGCAATGCAGAAATTGCTAAGCCCCGAAGGAAGGCATGCCAAGAAAGTAAGCTCCAGGTCTCATATTGCTTCGTAAAGATTCCTTAATTGCTCCAAGTATTAAGAATACAAGAGTTATACATTCAACTAACCATTCACTGTTTGGCTGTTATGAGTAGGTTGTCTTCTCTGCGTGCCGGACTTCTTTTTTCATTTTCACTTTACACCCTTCTCCCTGGTTTAACAAGAGGACACACCATCAGATATCAAGCGGATGTACTCATCATAGCAATTATACAAGGTAAATTGTAAAATCTACACAGACCACTGGGAGCAGCGAAAGGTGAGTAGCCAGTAGCCACATAAAGATGATGACACACGTGCTAACTCACGACAGTAGCACCATTCCGGGTTCATCATCCTGAAATAAGTTCTTGAACATCAAACAGAATTCCAAAGATTTCATTATTCCTTCCCCCGGTTTACAAAAATCCCATGCTGGGGGGATTCCAAGTTAGCAGACCCCTTTGCAAGCCAAATTCTGCTGATTTAAGGAAGGTTCAAAGCTTTAAATTAAATAAGATTAGTCACGGAAGATGCAACTGCAAAAAGGGGATATCTGCCAAAGCGAAACATATCTGCAATAAAAATAGTAAAAGACCCCCAAATATTTTTTTTCCCATTTGAAAATTCACAACTTAGCAATATAGTCAAAACCTTGATTCTTTATAGACTCCAGCAGACGGCATACGCAATGGGCATTTTTTTTTTTAAATTTTGGACTTCATTCCTAAATAGTGGAGAAAATCCATTATTTCCACAACATTTCAGACAACTGATATTCGCCACTATTACAACTGATCTAATTTACATCACTTCCGTCACGACGTCCCTTTACGTCATTTATCTCCATTCGTGCCATTAGAGTAATGAGAGAATTAAAGAAAGGGCAAAAATGGAGGCAAACCAGGGAAAAAACCACTGACAATGTAATTACACAAAAGATATAAAATGATGCAATACATTAGACTACACTCAAATGTATTTTTATTGTCAGGCCAGTATGATTCAGTTTTTCTGAAGCTAATTTTTGTTATACTGTCTGTAAAACTAGGCAGACCTTTGTCACCCATTGATCACGTCATTAATTGTAACATGTTGCTAGGTCTTCTTGGGATGGTTCTGTTTAGTTTTGTTTTATTTGAATGTTTAATTTATGTGTTGGCCTTCGGCTGTAATAAATTGATTGATTGATTGATTGATGCAATATCAATTACATCAATACTGTAAATTCTATTTCCTCCACCTCAATGGTCCATTCAGTTGAGGTTTTGCTGCATTTTGCTAAGGAATATAGAAGATGAATAACTGATCCAGGGTTATAGGTAGTCCTTGACTTACAACAGTTCATTTCATGACCAAAGTTACAATACCAAAAAAGTGACTTATGACCATTTTTCACACATATAACCATTGCAGAATCATGTAATCCAAGTTCAGATGTTTGGCAACTGATTTTTATGACGGTTGCAGTGTTCCGGGATCACGTGATCACCTTTTGCAACCTTCTGACAAGCAAACTCAATTAGGAAGCCAGATTCTCTTAACAACCATGTTACTAACTTAACAACTTCAGCGAGCCACTTAACAAATGTGGCAAGAACGATGGTAAAATAGGGCAAAAACTCGCTTAATAAATGTCTTACTTAGCAACATAAATTTGGGCTCAATTGTGGTCATACATTGAGGACTACCTGTAGTAACTTGAAGGGTGGACTTTATTGAAATGGCCAGCTTGTTACCTTTAGGTCTTCTACGATGAACCCCGAGGTCCAATCCCTGAGAGACAGCAGGAAAGGTTTGAAGGAGACAGGAAGTGGGGAACCCCATGGAGTCTTGGCTGAGGACCTTAGAAAATTGGGAAGTTTCTCTACCTGGCCTGGGATTCTGGACAATTGTCCCCATAGCCCTTGGACAGGGGTAGGCAACCTTGGCTCTTTTATGACTCGTGGACTTCAACTCCCAGAATTCCTGAGCCAGCCACGCTGAGGGGAAAGGGAGAGGTTTCCATGCTGAGCCATGCTGGCTCAGGAATTCTGAGGCCTAGGGCAGGGGTAGGCAACTTTGGCTCTTTTATGACTCCTGGATTTCAACTCCCAGAATTCCTGAGCCAGCATGGCTCAGCTTGGAAACCTCTCCCTTTCCCCTTAGCGTGGCTGGCTCAGGAATTCTGGGAGTTGAAGTCCACGAGTTATAAAGCAGCCTAGGCCTAGGCCAGAGGTAGGCAACCTTGGCTCTTTTATGACTCATGGACTTCAACTCCCAGAATTCCTGAGCCAGCCATGCTGAGGAGAAAGGAAGAGGTTTCCAAGCTGAGCCATGCTGGCTCAGGAATTCTGGGAGTTGAAGTCCACGAATCATAAAAGAGCCAAGGTGGCCTACCCCTGCCCTTGGAGAATTAGGGATAATCAGATAGATAAAGTTTAGACCTCAGACAGACTCTTTAAGTTTCAGTGTTGCTTCTGCTGTTCCAAGAAACGAATCTTCTCTTCCCCCGCTGCCCTGATTTGTTTGTTCTGATTAACAGCTGCTCCGTTTCCTTGCAAATCTTTACCTCACGTAATCTGATGCATCTGGCCTTCTTTTCCACATCCTCCCACTGCTCCCTAATTAAAACCGACACCTCTTTTAATTATTATTATTATTATTATTACTCCAATGTTAGATTTACAAGTCAACAGGGCAAACGCCAAAGCAGCTTGGGCTTGGCAGCCTTGGAGAAAGATTGCGGCTGATTCCTGGGGAAAAGACGTTTCCTGTTTTGCTCCAGAGTTTCCAGATTCCAGGTGTAAGGAGCATCTTCCCAAGAACAGAAGGGAACAGGAAAGAAAGGTGGAGATCCCAGCAGGTGTCTGGCAGGCAGATGTGTTTGTCTCTGCCCACAGCCACACCATCTCCTCTGAAAGCATAGTTAGGAATGCATCTCCTCCAAGGAGCATTTGAACCCTTCATCCACACCCTTCAAGCGTCCCCAGGATTTGCCTTCTCTTCTCTTTGGCTTTTGATGGTCCATGGACCTCTCCCGCCGTTGCCAGAGGTCAAGACCTGCAGCCAACCTCAAATGCTGTTTGATCCGATGAGTTTTTCTGGTGGGCTGGTGTCATTGTACGAGGGAAGGAAAGTACTAACAATGGGGATTCCTTTTCAGGACTTCTTAAGTCCTAGGGTCACTCTCAAAAAAAAAAAAAGCATAAAAGTGAGAACCTGGGCCTTGTGTTGATGTGTACCCCTTGTTCATTATTTAGAAAAAGACAGATGATTAGATTTTTTTTTTTAAAAAAAAAATCTGCCCAGCTGATAGAAAACGTGATTGCCCTCTTGAGTGTAAGGACTGATCAACTGGGAGAAATAATAAGGGTGTTCTGTGAGAAGGGAAGACAATATATGAATCAGATATCTATTTAAATTTGAAAAACCAGGTCCCGGGGGAAACAGCTACTTACAGTAGTGGCCAAAATTGTGGAAACCTTTTGGGGAAAGTGTATTTTTGAGGTTTGATGGCTAATAACACCACTTTTTTTTTTCCTGGAGTAGTACCCTAAAATTATATATCAATGGAAAGATAATTTAATCCAGAATGTAACGCAACATAGTTTGTTCAATTATCTGTACTGTATTCTATGAAAAGGTATAGCCAAATAACCAGAAAAAGGAAGCACAACTTGCTTAGGTTGATATCGGGTAGCTTTCCTTCATCCGATGGTAGCCAATGAGCGTGAGTGTTTAGAGAGCCAATCGGGTGTCATCTTGTTTTGGCAATGAGCCAATCAGATCACAGTAGGATTCAGTTATTGATGTCATGTATTGAAGCTGAGAGGAGGACATTGGTCAGTGTGTTATGTGATCGCTATCAAGTTGGTTGGTTTTTTTTTAGTTCTTTCATTGAGTGAGCTTGTAAAACGTAATAAAATTAAAGTCATGGTACAAAGAGTTGACTGGTCGCCCAGAAAGTGATGTCAAATAGTATTATGAAGTGAACGAGGCTACAGTTATAAAGAAATGAGAAGAAAAATGGGTGGAAACTTAACCAAAGGTGGCATTTCTGCTGTACACTTTTCCCAAAAGGTTTCCACATTTTTGGCCACTACTGTAATATGCAATCCACAGGTGAGGATTGGCTTCTAAGCCTTTATACTCAAAAATACTAATGTAGTAAAATGAACAATTGCTGGAATAATGATTTGTCTGCATAATTGCTAGAATAATGATGTAATGCATAATCACTGGGAAAATTCTGTGTCAGTAATATGTGACTAACCAAATGCGCATTGCACATAGATACTTTGTATGTAGCAAAACCTTCCATTGTATGCCCGTGAGAAACGATCCTAATGTATTACAATGTGTATTACCATGTGTAGTCCTTTGTTCCCGAAAGAAGGATAGTATAAAACTGAAGTCTAATCCCGCCCTCCTTGTTCAGAATTGCTTGTCTTTATGCTTCTGAACCTGCGCAAATAAACTTCTCTGCTAAACCCCTCTGGAATTCGTAAGAGTCCTTTCGTTTTCCACAAGAATTTAGTTTTCCCAAAAGGTTTCCACAATTTTGGCCACTACTGTATGTGGTCAACCAGGAGTTGAAAACAACTGGATGGCCCATAAGCAGTTTCATGCTTGGACTCTGGATCGCTTGCCATGTTGAACTTGGGCACGTCCTGCAGGATCTACTGGGGGGGGGGCTCATTCTAGAAGGTTTAGCCTAAAATTTGCACCCTCAGCCCCCAAATCCTCTTAAGACCAACAAAAACGCTCAGCAACCTGTCTTTCCTTTTGTAAATGAAACTGACCAGGAGGCAGAAGATGGGAGGAACAAAGCGCCCACAAGGAAGAGCCCAAGACAGTGTTACCTATTTGCAAGTTTTGCTAGTAAAAGCCCCACTAGCCAGAACAGCCTGGGAAGTTTCATCTGGAGCCACCAGGTGGTAAGAGCAGTTGCTGGCTAACACACAGGCCCTGGAGAGTTTATCCTTTCAGATCAGATGCACCACTTGCTGAAAGCACAAGCATTTTGCCTTGGGGGGGGGGAGCGGGGGGCAGAGGTTAATTGGCAAGCCACCAGCCACTCAACCCGCGATTTGAGCCCAGAGGGAGCCATTGCACCCCACTCAGCTTTTTCATTTACCCTGATAGGTTTTTTCACGTGTGGGACAACAAGGCGTCTTAATACTTTCCGGGTAACCTGTGAGAAATAACATAGGAAAAACAAAAACAAAAAGTTGATACATGTTCTGCCCGAGCCCGGAAGGACAGAACGGACGGGCAAAGAATCCATCATTAGGACTCTCAAGAAAGAGGGAGAAACACGAATCTGCAGAAGGTGATTTACTTTTCGAGTGACGGTGTTGCCTTCCTCGTCGGTGAACTGTTCTCGTGTGACCGATTCACCTGGAATGTTTCGGGCTTCTTTGCCCTAGTAGAGAACAAGTCAAAAGGATTAGCCTTGCTCACTTGGGGCCATCTGCTGCTTTTTCAACACCAGGCCAAGCCATAAACTCATGCCAGGCCAAGCAAGATTTTTTTTTGTTAGAGACAGTCCAACATCTACAGCAGTAGCCAAAATTGTGGAAACCTTTTGGGGAAAGTGTATTTTTGAGGTTGGATGACTAATAACACCACCTTTTTTTGTTTGGAGTAGTACCATAAAATTATATATCAATGGAAAGATAATTTAAATCAAGAATGTAATGCAACATAGCTTGTTCAATTATCTGTACTGTATTCTATGAAAAGTTATAGCCAAATAACCAGAAAAAGGAAGCACAACTTGCTTAGGTTGATATCAGGTAGCTTTCCTTCATCTGATGGTACCCAATGAGCGTGAGTTTTTAGAGAGCCAATCAGGTGTCATCTTGTTTTGGCCATGAGCCAATCAGATCACAGTAGGATTCAGTTATTGATGTCCTGTATTGAAGCTGAGAGGAGGACGTTTGTCAGTGTGTTATGTGATCGCTATCAAGTTAGTTGGGTTTTTTTGTGTTCTTTCATTGAGTGAGCTTGTAAAACGTAATAAAATTAAAGTCATGGTGCAAAGAGTTGACGGTCGCCCAGAAAGCGATGCAAAATAGTATTATGAAGTGAACAAGGCTACAGCTATAAAGAAATGAGAAGAAAAATGGGTGGGAACTTAACCAAAGGTGGCATTTCTACTGTACACTTTTCCCAAAAGTTTTCCACAATTTTGGCCACTGCTGTAGGGTGTATTATGATACAGGATTCATGGTTTAGATTCTGTGGCTAATGCTGAATATATAATTATGTTGTCAAAGGTCATTTATGGCTGGCTGTTGCTTTCAGGAAATGTGGGCCAGCCTTTCCTCTCTGGGAAGCAATTTATGCTGTGGATTTGATGCTATATACCTAGGAAATTTGTCTAGGAAACGTAGGGCTAAACCCATGGAGAAGGCTTTGTAAGAGCTCCCTCCCAAAAGTTATAGGGCCCAATCACTACTTCATTTGGATAGCCCTGAGATTCCTCTGAAATAATTCTTCCCTGCTACCATCTCAATTCTCCATAAATCTTTTTTCAAGACAAAAGTTATTGCTTGTACAATTTTATGGATCTTTATTCAGGAGAAGTCCATGCTTAGTTGTGCTGGTTCTAGTACAACCCGTGAACGAAGATTAGTTCTTCGTGAAAAATAGTTCACCAGAATGAGTAAAAAAAAAAGAGCTGCTTTATTCCCAATGACTTCGGGCAGATAAGGCTTCCCACTTATCTCAAGAAGCTCCAGCTGGTCATTATTTAGCACACAATCACACTGCTTGTGCAACATGTTTCATTGTATGGAAAGTGTCACCATATTATGCAAAACATCCAATCCAGTTGATCCTGAGAGTTTTAAGAGCCTTAAACAATACCAGGATGGCTGGGGACTAAATTAACTACAGGGAAAGATTAGACAGTTGATAACTCCATCTTTATGCTGCTAAAATGAAGACAAACTCTTCTATGTCCCTGTTTTACCCCCCCCCACTCATCTCTTGACAACTCTGGGAAAAGCTGAACAAGGTAGGATATAAACTGAATCATCTCCTTTGTTATCCCAACAGCATCAGCAGATCAGCGTCACAACCTACAACAAACAGATCAGCTTCCTCAGAGCTGCCTTCACAAGGAGGCTTACGAAAATTGGGAAGTCTCCAGGATTCCTGTCAAACTGGATCGGGAGCAAAGCCCAAACAGGTCCACCACAGCACAAAACTGGAAGAGGTCCAGTGTCTCTGTTGACATTGTGATTTGGACTACCTAGAACGCATGTCTGGACACGGGGGCTGTGATAAATGTCCCACCCAACCCTTGACACTTACAAGTACTCTTTGCTGTTCAACCGAACAGCAGTAATCGTGTGTGCTTGTATTTACACGAGTGGCTTTGAGGAAGACATCCAAGAGAACGTTGTGAGAAAGAGAAGCTGAGTTAACACATTGGTTTTGAGAGTGTAATTGCTTAAGCTGCGGGGCTGCTTCGGGACATTTTGCCTCTTAAGATGAAAGGCAGAGTGACATCCACAACTGCATGGACAAACACGAGCAGGATCGAATCCTTCTTCAACCCTGGCTGTGGGACAGACTCGCTCCCGATTCTCAACGCAGCAGACAAGCTGAGGACCTTCTAAGGAGCTTGACTGGCACCCAGGACTCTTCCCCCTGGCTCCTGACTTATCTTTCCAGCTGTAGCAGCCCCCAGTTACTACACTGCTCTTGAACACATGTAGGGTATTCAACTACACTCCAGTGCATTTAGAGTCATGCATATACACAGCCATGCATCACAAGATGGGATTATAAGCAAAACCCCAGAGTGCAATCTGGTAGGTCCTCCCAACGGGCCTGTTAAGTTGTGCGAGGGGGCAACACAAAGAGAGAGTCTAATGGTCGGGCCATTCTATCTGCACTGCAGTCCAAGTCCACTCCATGCCAGGGGCACCACAACAGCACAATACCTTCAGAATGAACCGCCGGCGATAAACCCTCGTAACGATCCTCTGCTCTTCGTCTGAACTGGAATCACTCTGAACCTCACACTCACTGTCACTCTCACTCAACTCCTGATAAATGCAGTTTGGGTACATTTTTACTGGCTCGTTTTAAAACATAAAAACGAATCTGAGCAAGAGCAGCGGGGAAATGGTTGCCCCCCCCAAATTTAGATTCACCTCCCCCCAATTACCCTACTGGGAACGTGTGCCATTTGGCTCCTGGGGAACCACACTTCTAAATGTGGTGCGTGCGGCCATGTCGCCTTGATATCGTTTACGGCAGGGGTGTCGAACTCAATTTCACTGAGGGCCACATCAGCATTGCGGTTGCCCTGGGGGGGGTGGGGGTGTGTGGCCAGAGTGGGTGCAGCCTACTGGGTGGGTGTGGATGGAGTGGGTGTGGCCTACTGGGTGGGCGTGGCCAGTTCTACATCATTCGCGTCAAGGGTGCCTATGGGGGGCCTGGGCAGGAGTGGGACAGATCTGAGGGTCTCTGGCAGAAGGGGGTGGGACCGGGGCAAGTGCCAAGGCATGGTCCACCGGAGCAAATGCCAAGATGGCCACCACAAAATTGTACATTGGCTCCCAGCCGGCCAGGGCCAAGGCAGCGGGGACCGTTCCCTCACTGTTTCCAGGATGGCTTCGTGGGCCACATGAAACCACTTCGCGGGCCGCACCCGGCCCCCGGGCCTTGTGTTTGACATGTCTGGTTTACGGCATAAAACAGATGTGCACAGGCTTGTGCAACAGCTGTAAACTCTTGTGTCGACAAGCTTTTTATCAGCAAGGAGGGACCAGAGTGCAGACATGTCTTTCCCCACTCTTCCTTGCTATCCTCAAAGACCCTTTCATCTTATAGAAGTGATGGTGAACCTTTTAGAGACCGAGTGCCCAAACTGCAACCCAAAACCCACTTATGCATCGTGGAGTGCCGGGTGGGTGTGGCCCATTGGGTGGGCGTGGCCCATTGGGTGGATGTGGCTGCGGTGATAATGGCAGACCGGGTGGGACGAAAAAGTTCAATCAATCAATTCCAACTTTGCGAGATCTTTTTTTTTCCCGCGAGAAGTTGAAATTGACTGAACCTTTTTTTTTTGCACATGGCGGCGGAGGCCTAAAGCGAAAAGGTTTTATAAAACCCAGCTGAAGGCCTAGGACTGGGGCGACGGCGCGCGTGCCCACAGAGAGGGCTCCGAGTGCCGCCTCTGGCACCCGTGCCATAGGTTCGCCACCACTGTCTTATAGCAACTGCTCTATGTTTTGTAAAACCAAAGCTATTCTCATAGTGGTATATGCCCAACATGCCCATCTCTTTCCAAACCAAACTAAGATTGTTGTGGCTGTTGTTACTGTGATGCAAGGATTTGAAACAGTGCTTCGAAAAGCAGTTTCAAATTGGAGTTATGCTGATAATTTTGCCTGATTCTGCTGATCACCAAAGCAAAATAGTCCCTTATGCTTTACCTTCCCCATCCAGCTTTACAGTAGTGGCCAAAATTGTGGAAACCTTTTGGGGAAAGTGTATTTTTGAGGTTTGATGGCTAATAACACCATCTTTTTTGTAGTAGTAGTAGTACCATAAAATTATATATCAATGGAAAGATAATTTAATCAAGAATGTAATGCAACATAGTTTGTTCAATTATCTGTACTGTATTCTATGAAAAGTTATAGCCAAATAACCAGAAAAAGGAAGCACAACTTGCTCAGGTGGATCTCAGGTAGCTTTCCTTCATCTGGTGGTAGCCAATGAGCATGAGTGTTTAGAGAGCCAATCAGGTGTCATCTTGTTTTGGCAATGAGCCAATCGGATCACAGTAGGATTCAGTGATTGACGTCATGTATTGAAGCTGAGAGGAGGACATTTGTTAGGGTGTTATGTGATCGCTGTCAAGTTGGTTGGGGTTTTTTTTGTGTTCTTTCATTGAGTGAGCTTGTAAAACGTAATAAAATTAAAGTAATGGTACAAACAATTGACTGGTTGCCCAGAAAGTGATGTAAAATAGTATTATTAAGTGAACAAGGCTACAGTTACAAAGAAACGAGAAGAAAAATGGGTGGAAACTTAACCAAAGGTAGCATTTCTACTGTACACTTTTCCCAAAAGGTTTCCACAATTTTGGCCGCTACTATAGGTATATTTTCCCAGCTAACAATGCATATTCTGTCATTGGGAAGAACGGCTGGTGAGTGCACTATTTGCATGGCGTATCCACCCTCCAGCTGGAAGTAAGATCGACCTGCTACTCAACTGAAACACTTCCTAGGGATTTCTCCCACCCCGGAATGGGCTAAGCTAGGATTTGATGCCATTCGGCAGCTGGATGCATCTTACATATATTTCCTGCCCTTTGTGGGACTTTTCCTCATATGTCTCACCCGTTTTGTATTTGAGCATCTCGTTTATGTATGTATCTACACTGGCTTTAATTAAGGAGTTTGGTGAATAAACGGGGAGGGTGAACTGCAGAATAAAAACACGATGCTCTACACCAGGAGTAGTCAACCTTGGCTCTTTTATGACTCGTGGACTTCAACTCCCAGAATTCCTGAGCCAGCCATGCTGAGGGGAAAGGGAGAGGTTTCCAAGCTGAGCCATGCTGGCTCAGGAATTCTGGGAGTTGAAGTCCACGAGTCATAAAAGAGCCAAGGATGCCTACCCCTGGCCTAGATGATAGGAAACTTGGCTCTTTTATGACTCATGGACTTCAACTCCCAGAATTCCTGAGTCAGCATAGCTCAGCTTGGAAACCTCTCCCTTTCCCCTCAGCATGGCTGGCTCAGGAATTCTGGGAGTTGAAGTCCACGAGTCATAAAAGAGCCAAGGTTGACTACCCCTGCTCTACACATTTGATCCCCACATAGCCACCACAGGGGCTTGGCACGCAAGAGTAGGTGGAGAATTGTGGCCTGTCCCCTCCTACCCTGAGCAAATCAAAGTTTGTGGCGTTTTATACCTTTTGTTCCGACGCAGCCGCTATCCCATCGTCTTCCTGAGCTTTTGATCTCGGCTTGCTGCTGTCAGAAATATTCCAGCTTGTCTTCTTCACGCTAACAGGCACAGAGGTTTTAGGTGTATCAACTGCTGGCTTGCTTGCCTCTTGCAAGGATTTCTGGTGGCATGTTAATGAGATTGTTTGCTGCTCAGCTCGGAGAGAGCTTGGCATTTTTGGTTTCACAGTTTCCTTGTCGCTCTGTTTTCCTAGGCTGTTCACAGAGTCCTGGGCAAAAGTCTTAGCCTTTGCTTCTGAGGTCGATTCTGAGTAGTTCCCGTTGGTCTCCAGCTTTCCCGCTTCCCCTTTGAAATATGAGGTAATAGAATCTCGACACTGACCAGGGCTGCAAGAGAGGAAGAGCCAAACCCAAGGAATCAGTAACGGTGTCATTAAATCACCTCTCCACAGGTGCTCAGCAGCTCAGGCTGACATTTTATGACTTACAAAGGGGTGAACAAAAAGCCTTGACTGCAGCTATAGGCAAGCAATGATCTACCAGTTGTGGCTCTGGAAGCCGATATCATTCCAGAAGTGCCCTGGGATGTTTCTAGCCAAGACGAGTCCTGAAGGATCGTTGCGATGCTCTTAAGAAATAAATCTGGACTTGAGCAAGGGGAGGTCCAGGCTGGCTTCTCTGCTCTATAATGGCAAGGTGCTTTTGAAAAGCAGACAAGTTCCAAAGAAAGAAAGGGTTCCCCCAATGGACACTGACACACAGTGGGTGTGTTAAGGGGCTTGATCGTGGGTTCTCGTGGGAACAGCCTATGGCTTATGCAAGTCTCTCTCTGTATTCCCAGGGTGATGGGAACAGCCAACAAGATCCTGATAAAATTGCTAGATATTGTAGGCACATCCACAAGGAGCAGGAACCCTTGGTGATAAGGGTTCTCTCTCTCTCTCTGTGTGTGTGTGTGTGTATGTCTCTGTCTCTCTGTCTCTCTCTCTCTCTCTCATTTCTGCTCTTTTAAATCCTTTTGAGAGCTACACTCAATCTGCTTCTAGAATTCTTTCTATCTCGACTCGGCTTTGAACGAGGATGCTTAAGCGCTGCTTTTGATTTCGGTGCCCTAAAATATCAGAGCACATCTATGTCTTGAGAACATCCCACTTGGTCTACAAAATATCATTCAGTAAAATACTTAAGCTACTGGTCCCTGCTTGTTAACTGCCACCTAGCAGGAAACCAATTAAGGCAAATTATCTTAACAACAACTTCATAATGTGAAAAAAGCAGAAGAATTGATCCGTCTCAGGCTTGGGGGGGGGTGTTCAGCCTTATCGCTCTGTACCTGTCATCCAATCGGTTCAGCAGTTCTCCGCTTATTCTGCGTCCCGAAGACGTCGGTTCCACCTTGACTCTGGGCGCCTCGTTCTGCCAACCTGTAATTGAAGACATTTCCTGTTCGGCCTGCCGGATATAGTTAAGTATAGACAAGATTTTCTCTTCTGTCATTTCCTCAGACTCGGCTATTTCTTCAAGGCAAATATCTTCAAACAGAGACTTAAGCCTTTTGTCCATCGGCTCCTCATCAGTACCAGACCGGTTTCTCTCGTGGCGTTCAGTCCTCACTACGGCTTGACTACTCTCTTCGCTCGGTGTCTGCATTCCAGCACAGCGACCGAGATAGCGAGGATAGTCCTTAAGGTGGATTTCTTCCAGGGGCTTTTGGCCTGCATCTCTAGAGGCTCCATCTAGAGGCACCGAGTGATTGTATTTGCCTTCCTCCAGTGAGGTGTCTTCTGCAATGACCACGGGAGGTTCTCCATCCGTCTCCTCTAGGTTTCCCTGTGAAGTTGCTAAGACATCACTCAGTCTACTAGGAGTTCTAAGGGGTGATTCTACGCTAGAGAAATCGCTAGCCAAGTCATCTTGATGGAAATGGCTGGGTGGCGCGAAGCACAACCCAGGGGGGGTTTCCAGTTCCATGTGAAAGGTGGGGTAACCTAAGGAAGACAGCACATTGGGACTGATTGCCGTGAAGAATGGAGTAACATAAAATCAAGCATTCAGAATGGCCGAGTACTTTAAGAACATGAGAACGGCATGAAACAGCGAGAACAATTGAATTAGGAATGGGACACAAGAGTTCTTCAAAGAGCACAACAAAACTGAAGCCGACAACACGGAGAGCACAGCACACCTGCAGCTGGTGTCTCTCTTCGATTTAATGATTTCAGAACCATTTTTTTCTTCTCAATCAGGCAGACATAAAATTTGGATTGCTAACAAAGAATTAAGGGAGAATGGAATAGCTATTTCAAGCTTTTTAGCTCTCATCAGCCAAACATACCCTTCTGAGATTCGAACCTGGGCTGTCTGCACGTTAAGCAGCTGTGTTAACCTCTAGGCCACAGGCTCTTTCTCACTTTGTCAGCTGTGTCAGGGATATATATATACAGGAAGTTTTTCAGACAGACCGGTCTGATTGATTACACCTTGGCATTTTGACTGCTATGCTGCAGTTCTACTTTTTACAATCTCTTTTGCCTTGCAGCCCCCCAACTAGGGGCGATAAGCAGGCTCAAGTCACAACTGCGAAACATTTACAAATCCAAATTTCTTTTTCTGACAAAAGAGTTAAAGAATTAAATTGGGAGACTAAGATGGCCATTTCGAGCTCATTTGCTCTCTTCAGTTAGCCACACCCTTTATGGGATTCGAACCTGGGCAGTTTACATGCTAGGCAGTTGTTTAACCACCAAGCCACAGGCTCTCCTCCGCTCTTTGCCAGCCGAGTCAAAGGAGTATATACAGGAAGTTTTTCAGACAGACCAGTCTGTCTGCAACACACACACGCGTGTGTGTTTTCTGAGGTTTTCACGGGTGTTTGTATGTAGGTCTTTGGTTATTCGGGTTTTCTCCCGCGTAAAATTGGAAGTGTCTTGGCGACTGCAATGGCAATTTGCAATGTAACAAATCATTTCTGCTTCTGTTATGGCTCACAGTGGTTAAATGCAAAGAATAAAGTAGCTGCCTGCAAGGCAGGCAACTATTTTACAAGCGTTTTAAAAATTGCCTTCATTTTTTTAATACTGACCTAATACCCCCATGCATAATGATTATTGTGCTATGTGCTTCAATTTAGTCAGTGCCCCGTGAGAACGGAGTCGATGTAGAAAATAGAAATAAGTTTCAGATAGGGATAGAAAAAGGTAGTTCTTGACTATGACAGGACGGAAATGACAAACTACCGGGGGGGGGGAGGAGGAGGAGGAGGGGAGAGAATCTATAGATCAACTCCAGGAACCGTGTAACTCTAGAGATGAGAGTATTGTGATGAATGAGGAGACCTTGGTGATCTTGGAGACACAGGCGATCTTGGTGACACAGGTACAATCAGAAACACTGATCAAATAAAGAAAAAAAAAAGGAAAGGAGAAGCATGAACACAAAGAGCCGTTTGTTCCCCAGGACAGGAATGGCCAAGGCAGCAGATTCCGCCTCTGTCAATTTTCAATCCGGGTGAATTCCAAAACATGGAAATCAGGGTCTCTCATGCTGGCTGAGGAATTCTGGGAGTTGAAGTCCACAAATCTTAAAGTTGCTACGCTTGGAGACCCCTGCTCTAAATGTTAGAGAAGGTTCCACATCCTTCTAAGGGGATCAATGAATGTGCTCCTCACATTTGCCATGAGGAAGCATGTCAATAGCAATAGGACTTAGACTTATATACCGCTTCACAGTGCTTTATACAGCCCTCTCTAAGCGGTTTACGGAGTCAGCATACAGTAGTGGCCAAAATTGTAGAAACCTTTTGGGAAAAGTGTATTTTTGAGGTTTGATGGCTAATAACACCACTTTTTTTGGGGGGGAGTAGTACCATAAAATTATATATCAATGGAAAGATAATTTAATCAAGAATGTAATGCAACATAGTTTGTTCCATTATCTGTACTGTATTCTATGGAAAGTTATAGCCAAATAACCAGAAAAAGGAAGCACAACTTGCTTAGGTTGATATCGGGTAGCTTTCCTTCATCTGATGGTAGCCAATGAGCGTGAGTGTTTAGAGAGCCAATCAGGTGTCATCTTGTTTTGGCCACGAGCCAATCAGATTACAGTAGGATTCAGTTATTGATGTCCTGTATTGAAGCTGAGAGGAGGACATTGGTCAGTGTGTTATGTGATCGCTATCAAGTTGGTTGGGTTTTTTTTCTTTCATTTAGTGAGCTTGTAAAACGCAATAAAATTAAAATCATGGTGCAAAGAGTTGACTGGTTGCCCAGAAGGCGATGTAAAATAGTATTATGAAGTGAACAAGGCTACAGTTATAAAGAAATTGGAAGAAAAATGGGTGGAAGCTTAACCAAAGGTGGCATTTCTACTGTACACTTTTCCCAAAAGGTTTCCACAATTTTGGCCACCTACTGTATTTGCCCCCAACAATCTGGGTCCTCATTTTACCCACCTCGGAAGGATGGAAGGCTGAGTCAAGCTTTAGCTGGTCAGAATCAAACTCCTGGCAGTGGGCAGAGTTAGCCTGTAATACTGCATTCTGACCACTGCACCATATGGCTCATGTCAACCTATCATCAACGGTGGCACCGTGTGCTTGTCAGAAAATTATTCCCAGCACCCAGGACGACAGCCTAAGTACAGAACATTGCAGAAGACGGAGCATTGGCCATGCCTGTCCTAGCATTTAGTTTCAGCACAGAAACGAAATGGCAAATGAATGGTATAGCATCATCCCACAGGTAAATATCAGGCTGACCCATCTGACAAAAATGGGGGATTTCAGCATTGAGATACGGCATCTGGAAATGAACGTGCATTAATTATAATGGTTGTCGGTGGCTGGTTGTTTGCTTGGTTCTCTGAATCCACTGAGAGAAAGTTAAGATGCAGTCTGGTCTTGGTGAGGACTAGGAGCTTGAGAGATGCTTGGAGAAAAGGAAGGACAGAACGCAAAACAAGAGAAGCACATTCTTTTTAGAGGGAAGAGAGAACCTATTTCATGACTGAACAGCGCAAGCCACATTTCAAGAACAAATCTCTTAAAATGTCCACAGAATTTATATTTCTGCACTGCAGCGATTTTTTTTGGGGGGGGGGATGTGTGTCAAACCTGCTACTCAGAGGCCGGGAATGCTTGATGCCTTGCGTCGAGCCCCAAAATGCTTCCCCCAAAAGGCAGCACCCCCCAGAACATGGATTCTTGGATGTATACATATGCAAGTCGACACATACATACACACGCAACTTGCATGTTCAGGCCAGCGCAGTATTTCGTAAGCAGCCTAGCAACATGTCAAAAGCCAAAAAAAGTAATTGCTGTAACTTGTTCTTGATTGCACCTCCGTGTTAGAAAGCAAAACATCGGTTAACAGTCTCAGAAAAAAGGTGGGTGCTGAATTGGATCGTTTTGAGTTTTATTGCCCGATTAGGGCAGTTTGCAGAATGCCAACTGCAAAGTTTGCCATCGCACCTCAGGACTACAGAAGTTAATTTGCAACTCTGTTAATTCAAAACAAGCGAACATTTACTGGTTCAGTCATACCCTAAATCAGGGGTAGGCAACCTTGGCTCTTTTATGACTCGTGGACTTCAACTCCCAGAATTCCTGAGCCAGCACAGCTGTGCTGGCTCAGGAATTCTGGGAGTTTAAGTCCACGAGTCATAAAAGAGCCAAGGTTGCCTACCCCTGCCCTAAATTGTATTTTGTTAAGTAAGAACATATTTCAAGTGGAAAAAAAGTCTCAAAGTCCCATGTTATTAGATCAATATATATATATATGTATATATATTTGTTACTCACTTGGGGAAAAAAAATACATAAAATGAAACAAACTCAGTTACCATCAACAATATCGTGGAAAACATTATTTTCATCTGCAAAACTTCTGGTGCCGGATATGTTTCCATAGTCAAATATTGGTCCTTCCAGCAAAGTTACAATGTCAATCCGATTGATTTTTGTTAATACAGAAGTTAAGGCATCAGCTGTGGGGGGAGAAAAGGACAAAACATTAACATTCTTGTGTGTAACTTTTAATTCTTTGGATAGGTGGCCTGTGGTTTCACTGAGCACACAGAGTGTAGAGGTCTCTAAACAAGAGGCATCAACTAAATATCAGATTTGGGAGCACATGAGCTGCAGCACCCTGCACATTTTGAATTGCTTGCTTATCAAAACCTGCCATGTCTTTTGATGATGATGATGATAATAATAATAATAGAAATAATAATAATAGAAATAATAATAGCAATAATAATAGCAAATTGGCAAGAGCAACCATTAAGGAGATTGTGGTGGGCTGTGGAGCTGCAGGTGTCGATAGCTAGAATCCATGCGCTAGATTTGATGTCAGGTGCCTCCTCCTTGCAGCCCTGATAGCCATAATAATAATAATAATAATAATAATAATAATAATAATAATAATAATAATAATAATAATAATAATAATAATAATGCCTATCCCAGGTCCTGGGAAAGGACTCGATAGGTAGACAAAATGCCAAATCCAGTCTGAACATCTGGCTGACTGTGCGATGATCCATAATAATAATGATAATAATAATAAAGTTGGAAGGGACCTTGGATGTCATCTAGTCCAACCTCCTGCTCAGGCAGGAAACCCTATACCATTTCGGACCAATGGCTGTCCAGTCTCTTAAAAACTTAAAACTTAAACTTAAAATGGCTGTCCAGTCTCTTAAAAACTTCCAGTGTTGGAGCATTCACCACTTCTGGAGGCTGATTGTTCCACTGGTTAATTGTTCTAACTGTCAGGAAGTTTCTCCTTAGTTCTCGGTTGCTTCTCTCCTTGGTTAGTTTCCATCCGTTGCTTCTTCTCCTGCCTTCAGGTGCTTTGGAGAATAGCTTGACTCCCTCTTCTTTGGGGCAGCCCCTGAGATATTGGAGGCTGCCACAAAGAAGAGGGAGTCAGGCTATTCTCCAAAGCGCCTGAATGAGTCGAAAACATTTTAACAGTGTGTATTGGCAACTTATTCTCTAAGACATTGTGTTTCTCTGCAATATTATACATGCAGGAAGGCTGGCTGACCAAGGCAACTGGATAAAGAATAGAGCCTGTCACCTATCAAGTAGCTGCATTCTTTTTGTAGGAACTTCAAGATACAGACCTTCTTACACAAATCTTAAACTTACTTGTAGCGTTTTTTCCATCTCTCGTAACCCATTTTTTTAACAACATGAAGCTCTGAGCAATTAAAGAATTTGGGTTTTCCACTCGAATCTGATTGATTTCGTCAACAGAAAAATTCAGCTCTCTTGCCAGTTCTAGCGTGTGGGAAAGAGAAGAAAAATAATTACTCCTGTTTTATTGGAACAGTCCCATTTAAAAATCAAACGTATTTCGGACAACAAAGGACACACGACCAGGTGTTTTTTTTTCCCCTCCAGAAAATTCAGCCTAAACTTCCCAACATACCTCAAAGATCAAAGGGGGGAAGACAGAGAATAATGAGAGCCACTTTCAGACACAGCCTTGAGTTGTAGTCTCAGGAAGAGAAGCTAAGAAAGTTATGAGTCTTCTCTTCATTTTAAGGTTTTAGGTTGTTGTTGGTTTTTTTTTTGCTTTGTTGGGATCAGTCTGGATAGAAACAACGGTCCAGGCAGGGAGACAGCCTTTGACAACCTCCAAACATACAACATTATGGCTTGGACTCCAAGCTTCCAAATCCAAAGCCAAGACCAGAAGCTCCCCTGTCATCATCACAACCCAGCTCCATTTGCTCCCAGCACTGCCTCAAAGGACCAGAATTGGAAGGACATCTGCTATGGCCAGGAGGGGGGCAAAATGAATGGACTCATCTGGGATAACTCCTTCCCCTCCCCCCCCCCAGGATAACAAGTGCAATGCTCAACCCTTCCCCTTCCATATCTGAGATAACACCATTGGGCAGCCTCCAACATCCAGTATAGGAACCACGAAAAGAATCTGGCTTTGTGGTTTGCTTGGCTAATTGTGATGATCTACTACACAGGTGGTTCTGAAGCAAGAGAAGAGATACTTCCAAAGCCATAGGGCAGACATGTCAAACACAAGGCCCAGGGGCCGGATGCGGCCCGCGAAGTGGTTTCATGTGGCCCGCGAAGCCATCCTGGAAATAGTGAAGGAACGGCCCCCACTGCCTTGACCCTTGCCCAGGCCAGCCGGGAGCCAATGTACAATTTTGTGGTGGCCATCTATGCTGAAACACAGTCTTAGCTCCACAAGGCCGTCTAGAAACAGCAAGGAACCAGCCCCTGCCGTGTTGGCCCCGCCCCCTGGGTGCATGCTGGGCAGGTGTCACCCTTTGTGAGGAATGAAGAAATGGACCATGCCTTGGCGCTTGCCCCGGTCCCACCCCCTTCTGCCAGAGACCCTCAGATCTGTCCCACTCCTGTCCGGGCCCCCACAGGCACCCTTGACGCGAATGAGGTAGAGCTGGCCATGCTCACCCAGTAGGCCACACCCACTCCATCTACGCCCACCCAGTAGGCCGCACCCACCCTGGCCACACCCGGCCCCCCGAGGGCAACCGCAATGCTGATGCGGCCCTCAATGAAATTGAGTTTGACACCCCTGTCATAGGGGAAGATTCCACATGATACAAGCAAATGTCCCAGGTGTAGCAGCCCCTTAACCGGCCTCCGCTGATCTTAACCTGGATAGCATTTGGAGGGAAACCTCCAGGCAATCCCAGGGCTGCAGATAGGACTAAGGTGACAAAATATCACCTAGAAAAAAGGTAAAAGCAAATATCTGTGATACTGTAGTGCTGCTGCCCACAAAAATGATGCGGATGCATCAGCTCACCTGGACCATCTTTTAAGTCCAGTAATAGTGTGGATGGATGTTTTTCCTCATCTTTTCTTACCAGCTCTATTGTTTATTTTTGAAAATACTAGGAGCTCCAAGGACTCTGCTTTTTCCCATTTTCTTAATCTCTCCAGCTGAAGAGCAGAGCAGGATGGAGCTGGGAGGAATCAGTTCAGCCTGCCCTCCCTCATCCATCAACACACAGACACACACATCCAGGGAGACACAATAAAGGGGGGGGGGCTCTCCAAGGCTTGCTAGTTTCTAGAGCATCAGAATATTCCAAACCCTTACCTGTCCAGCTAAGTCCCAGGTGATCAGCCACAATTGCCATCCTTATGTCTGTCCGTTCGCATGGGCTCTGTGGACCTGTGATTTATAATTCTTCTATTAAAACGGTAATGTGAAAGGGTGCTCAGCACTGACTAACGTTAACTGTAATACACTGTGTTGTTTTTTTAATAGGTGTTTTTAGTCCAATTACTAAAAAAGAATGGAATGCCCTGTTTTGTTTCTTTTTTTTTTTAAAAAAAATGCAGATTCACAGATCTGGAACTTTCCCCTTTCAAAGGCTAGTAGTGTTCATCTACATGATGTAAATATTGTGTAAATGGAACCAAACATGCTGACAATCTATTTACTGAGCTGTACGAAATGATTTAATTACTGGTGGAGGGGAGGAAAAAAAAATAGCCCACCAGGAACTAAAGAATGAAAAAAAAAAGTTCTTTCTTTTGAAAAAGGGCAAGTTTTACTATCTGGGAGTATCTGGGGGGTTGACATACACGTCTTCAGCATGCGTCCCTCGCTATCTACTATACAGGCTTCACATAACGGAAGAAAGAAGAGCATAAAAGACAAAACACAGAGATGACAATGACAGAATGGGAACTAGAGGAAGTCACTGCACAGGCAATCACAACAGGTCATGCACTAGGATCAACAAGTTGAAAGTTTTACAAACTAGGCTTGGCCTCCACAGGGTGAGCCCGGAGAGCTCCAGAAACCTGACTCCCTCCATTCTCACCAGTCCTCCTCTTACTCCTCCTCCTCCTCCTCCTGTCACTGTCGGACTTTTCAATCTTTGATTTTACAGATGCTGCCTCTGTTCTCATATCTCTAGCGGGCTTCGTTGCAATGGAAGGCTGGAAAACTTGAGTGGCTTCGGACAGGGATGTGGTTCTTGAGGTACTATCTTCTTCTTCTTCCTCCTCCTCCTCCTCCTCCTCAGATACTCCTGGTGGCATTTTTTTCTGTTCATCAGATAGTCGGTCGACAAGCTTTAAAGCCTCACCGCTAATTCCCTTAAAATATTCAATAGAATGTTTACATACCTCCCTAAGCTGACTTTGCTTTGCTTTAACAGTTGTTGCGGCGGCTGCTGCTGCTACTGCTGCAGTGGTGGTGGTAGTGGTGGTGGTGGTAGATCTTACCTTTAATGGTAATTTAGAAGGAAAAGAGTTGGCCTTGCTTCTCTCTATCTGCCCTTGCTTTTGAGCTGGTGGCATTTTTCTAGCTAAGGCCAAGTTATGCCTCTGTGTGCTTTTTATGGGAATCTTAGACCTCCCCTCTATGGGTGGAGAAGAGCTGCACGGCTTCCTTAGGTCAACTCTCTTGGCCTCCCTGACATGACTCCCCCTGCCAGTCTCACTAGTGCTGTGCAGCACAGCGTCTTTAGCTTTTATGGGAAGCCGGGAGCGTGCTCGATTCCCGACTGATTCGGGGGGTGCCTGCTGCTCTCTAGGTCTTTTCTGCTTACAGTCTCCTTGGGTCGCACCGGGACCGTTTCCTGAAGGGTGTTTCATTGAATTAGCTTTCTGTGTGGGACACTTGGACTCAAAGGGTTCATTTAGCACTACTGGACAAGTGAGGTGATTGATAGGTGTGGTGCATGGGTCCAAATTGTTGTTGTTATTAAAATTATCTTTTGGGAAATCATGCTTTTCTGCTTCCCTACTGCTGGTCTGGTTAAGCACAGCTGTGTCTGTAACCTCCTCTACAGCTTTGCAGTCTAACCCCTGAGTCCCTAATGTCAACGTCTCTAGCTTATCTGCCATTTCCCCAGACGTGTCTTTCTTCAGTGTCATTGTGGAAGCCGAAATGCCCATTTTAATCGGTGTGCGCAATTTGGGATCGACTTTAGAAGCGTGAAGCACCAGGGATGATTTCTCCAGTGAGCTACAACCAGGTGTTGCTTCCATGCCATCTCCACTGGCCTGGAGGATGAGCTTAGGTTCAACTGTTGGCGTTTCTACTTCTCTCTCTACGGTTTGCTCTACCGTTTTGTCCCCTGACTGTGGCTGTGTGATGGCAGTGACTTTATTGTTATCCCCTTCCCCCTTGTCCCCTGACTTCCCTTCAGAAGTATGCTCACCAATCTGAAAAAATTGGAGTCTTTCTTCAACAAAATCCCTCTTGCTCATGTCAATTGCACCACTGCGAGTCATCTCAAACATCTTCCCTTCATGAAATGGGAAGGGATTGGGCTCGCTAGTTGGGGTACTTTCATCTGTCGGCGTCCTAGCTGGCGTCGTGTCTGGAGTGGTGGCTGGAGATCTGTCTTCCACTGCAAGGCCGAAAGGCTTGGGGTCATCGTCCCTACTTTTGGATTCAAAGACTTCATCATCTCCACGGTTACTGGACCAAGGGTCAAAATCTAGGCTCTTGGTTGCTATAGTTTTAAAAGGGGTGGCAAACTCTTCATCTACTTTATAACTGAAATACGTATCAGGAAACACGGTCCTGTCAGGATGTCGGCCTTCCAAAGTGAAAAACTGCGCCCCTGACTTTTGTTCAGCCTTATCCACGTTTTTTTCAGCTGCTGGACATTTTGATAAGGACTTCTTTTCCTCAGAGCCGACTTTTTCCTCCTCCTCAATAATTTCCAGCTTACTTTGGCTAAAACTTCGATCAGTCTGTTTCACGATGCCTTCAGTAACCCAGAGATCTTTTTTAGTTTCTACTGCTGGACACGCGTGCTTAGAATCACTCTCGGTCAGCCCATCGTCCTCATCTTGCAGATCATACCCATCGAGAGAGTCAATTTCGGTGGCATCTGTATCGTGGGAGAATTCTGCGGTGGTTGCTATCGAGCACTCGGTAACTGACTGGTCATTGTTCCCATTTGATGCCACATCATTCTGGGGGGATTCAAGAGCCAAATCAAATTCACTGGGCTTCGTTTCAGATGATCTGCGTGTGGTGGTCTCCTTCCAGTCATCTTCAACATCGTTCAGTTTAAACATGTATCTTTTAATGGGAACGGGCTGATACAATGACTCGTCATCACTGGAGTCGCTTAGATCTTCTGCCGGCGGCACAGGAGAAGGGGGCTGAACGCGGATGACTGGTTCAGCCAGCTGACGTTTCTCCAGTTCATCCTGAAGGTTGACTTCTGTCATCTCCATGTCGCTCTCGGAGGAGGGACGTGGCTTTTCTGGGTCTGAATGATCAGCATCTAATGGAGGAGGTGGTGGAAATTCAATGTAGGCCACTCGGTTTCCCTTCGGCCTTTTGTTAGATTCCCTGTCCAAATTATTGGGCAGCTCTTGCTGAGTTCGGGGCGACTGTTTTACAGAGGTGGATTTGGCTTCGGCCTCCTCCTCTGACTCCTCCGACACCTCAGGGATTGGGCTCGGCTTGCTGGGTATGTAAGCAATGAGTGAATCAGGTGTTTTGGATGTAAACTCATAACTCACTTCCTCTGAGCTTGGTGTCTCTGGGGTTAGGGGGCTTTTCCCAGAACTGTCCATAAAGGACACCTGTTCTAAGGTATCATCCTCTGGACTACCTTGGGGGGAGGGGAGTTGCTTCTGCTGCCTGGTGGTATAAAATCCCCCTCTCGTCTCTTGCACTGTCTTACTCTCCTGACTTACAATTTTTTTTATAGTTCCCTGCTGCACCTCTCTTTCATACTGCCTCCCTACCTGAACAAAACTGACATAAACAGGTAGTGTTTTTATCTCCTTTGCTGCTTCCTCTGCTGCTAAAGGGGACGGTTTCACCAGATCAAATTTCTTGGCAGGAGACAGTTTTCTTGGGCTAACGTCTAAGGAATCGGGTGTCTTACTGGGGGATGACTCTGCCTCCTCTTGAGGAGCGCTTAACTGGAAGCAACTGAGTTGCCTGGCACTGGCTGGACTATATTCTACCCCTTTCTCTTGTTGAGCCACATTGAACTGTCCCTCTACTTTTTCCTTATCCATTCTGATGTGGGGCACTTGAGTTGGCAGTTCGCGGCGTGCAGTTGGGGACTGTCCTTCAAGAATGCCACCTGCCCACATACTTTTCTCTTCTGAAACTCTTTCTGGAATATGGGGTGCCATCATTGCTTCTTTTTTCTTTGAAATCCTATCCCTCACTTCCCCTGGATAGTCCCCTTCTCTGACAAGGTATTCTCTATAAAGCACCTTTTTGGATGGAGACCTTACAGTCACTTCCTTCACCTCCTTAGAACCTGATCCATTTGTGGACACTTTCTGCTCATATTCGGTCACAGTGATCAGTTCGCTAGATTTGGCCAGATCTTTAGGCTCAAGAGGGTCAATTTGGTTTTCTTTGACTACATCTTGCACAAGCACATGGGAAAGTTTTTCTTTCTGGGCTGTATGGGAGGATGTCCCAGGGCTTTCCCATGTCCTATAAATCTTTTTATCCCAGTGCCCCTTGGCTGGGACAGGCACAGCACTGGCGCCATAGGCCAAGCCCTTCACATTTTGCTCAGCAAAGGCAGAAATGGTCTTGCTTGGTATTTCTTCCTTGGCCTTGGGGACCTTTGGAGGAGATGCATCCTCAATCACTTTGCCTTTGTCCCTGGGGCCATCTTGGAAGCAGCCAGCAGGAGGTTCCTTTTGCAATGCTAAGTTCCCATCCACCAGGTCTATCTCTTTGGCCTGTTTTTCTCGGGAGTAAAACTGATAGACCGGGAGCTTGCTGTCCTGCAACTTTTTCACTGGGATTTTAGATGGTATATCCAGCCTTTTCTCCTCTGGAAGCATCTCCTTACTTTTGGAGCCCAGGCTCTGTTCAAATTTTAGCCTAATGGAGCTGAGCTTGGATTGCTTCAGTTGGAACCCTGTTGGTAGAGCCTCTGGGATTTTGCTCTTCTGAGCCGCTCCCTTGGGTTCTTTCAAGTCCTTACTCGGCTGAGAGAGAATCTGCCTCTCTGGGCTGCTGGGCAAACTGGCTGCCTTCCTCTCCTCGGGTTTTGGCCAGCCCTTCCCATCCTGAGCACAGATTCCTCTTCCTCCTCCTGGCCAGTCGCTTTGTGACTCAGAAGCAGTCACCTTCTCCGGACTGCTGCTTGCTGATCTAAAGCCCACGCTGGCTTCTCTCCCATTCTTTCTCTGCTGCTTCTTCGGGGATTGCAGCTCATCGTTCAGTTTCTCTGTCTTGTCCCGGAAGAACTGCGAGACTTCCGTCAGCTTTTCTTCGGCCTCCTTAACCGTCCTGTCCACCCTGTCTTCATACATCAACTTTTCTCTACCTCTGTCTAATCTGTTCTCTGCAAAGCGCATCCACATAGCATGCTTTGGGCTACTAACATCTCCGGAATAATGCAACACTGTCACTTTCTCATAAGGATCGTCTTTGGATATTTTACCCACACCATTTTCTGATATCTCTTTAGAGATTTTGGTGAGGAGGTCTTGTGGGGGTGCTGGGGCTACTTTTTCTCTGGATCGTTTATCAGGCCCCTGAAAGTCTGCGCTAAGGGGGGGGACATGGTCAGTAACTGACTCCTCGGTGTCTGAGTAAGACACATCTAGCTTTTCTGAGAGAAGCATTTTCTCAGCAAACCTGTAAGATTCCCCTCTTAGTTCTGACAACTCGTCGTCATGGTACTCTACTGAGTGTTGACTCAAAAGCTTCAGGGTTTTGTACGAGTCATCAGACATAAGTTGGGCAGAACTAGGGCGACTGTCTTCTTCCTGGGAATTAGGAGTGTTTACTCTAGAAGATTCCAAATAAGAAGGCAAGGACTCTTCGGCGGTCAGTTCTTCTTCTTCGGGCTGACCTTGTTCGTACGAACAAGGGAGGGCCTCCAGCTTTTCCACATCCCCTTGTGACAAGTCTTTCTGATACATATACATTTCTTTCTCTGGATGCTTTTTGGTTTCTCTAATAATGACTTCAGTAGGCTCAGCCTGATTACCTTTTTCAATATGGACCTCTATTATACGCTCCAATTTGGGTTTCATTTTGTAGTCCTTCTCTGCAGACTGGGGCGACATTTCAGTGGATTTGCCAGCCTCTGGGGAGACCGAAGACTTATGCTCAAACAGACCTGCCAGCTCCTTGGAAGGGTCCCGTCCTGACTGAAAAGCTTTCATGATGTCATGAACAGACATGGTTTCCTCAATTCTCTCCGAAGGGCTCTGAGTGCATGGAGGTTTGTGGTAAACCATTCTGGTGGTGGTACTTATGTGGGTCTCTTCTTTTACACGGACACCTTTACCCAGGGCACACTCGTCTTCACTACTGGCCTTCACTTGAAAGGCGTTCACCTTCCCCTTGAGGGAGCCTCCGTTGGGCCGGGGCTCCAGCTCCATAAAGGTGCTGACCACTTTGGGGGAGGGTGGCTCTTCCGTGTGAGGCTCAGAGGCCTCTCCCCCCGACGAGGGTTCATAGCTACGGATCACGTGCACCACTTCAGTTCTGGTCTCCGTGATCACGGGGGGGAGGGGCACCTCATGGAAAAGGGGCTTTGGCCCTGTACTTTCTGCACTCTGCGGGGCTGAAGGGGTCTTCTCGCTCCTGGTCTCGAAGCCGCTATCGGACAAAGGGCTTTTATCTTGATCGTGCTGGGAAAAGTCATCGGGAGATTCCAAAACAATGTCCGTTCCAAAAAGGGAATCGGCGATTTTACACAACTCTTTCTCAGAAGTTGACGGCCTCACGGAGGCTGGCGGCATTTTAAGTTTATGTTCTTGTAGAGCAATGGCTGGTTTTAGGACCCTTTTCTGCCTCTCTTCCCCCTCCCTTCTCCCGTCGTCAAACTTGTACTTGAAACTCGCCAGGGAGCTACTGCCAATGTCATTCGTTAGGTAATCAATTACTTTGCTCAAGTTGTAATCCTTTTCAGAGACAGCCTTGGCTTTGAGCTGCACTTTTTCTGGGATAGTCAGAGGAGGGATGATCATGCCCTGGCGTCTGGCTTCATCAATCTCACCTGCACTGAACTCTACCCATTCTTCCTCAGAGGAGTGTCCTTTATCATTCTGAGAGAGTTTGACTGAGGCTTTATTCTCTACACAGACATCTTTTTTCAGTATCTCGCTAACTTTCACTAGGTCCTCTTTGACTTTCTCAACAAGTTTAAAAGGCTCTTCATCATCTATTCTACCCTCTTTGGTCAGTTCTGGCTGGAACGCCTTCTCCTCCTCCATTACATCTGTCTGCAATATTGCTGTCATTCTCATTAGGTCCTCTTTCATCTCGGCCACATCTTTTAGTATCTCCTGACTAGAAGATAAAGATGAAGGTGTGGACAACTTAAGGGCAGAGGGTGCTAAGAACAAAGATGATTTGACAGGAGATGAGGATCGGTTAAAGGGAGATTGTGCGCATGTCTCTGTAGTCAATGTTTTAAGAGGCGAGAGCAAGGCAGCTGCTGATTTGGCCAGGGAGGGTGTCTCGGGGAGCTTCTTGAGTGCTGGTTCTGACAAAACATTGACTACAGAATAGACTGGCACCGTGATAGTTGATGAGGTTACTGACGAGGTAGTTGCTGAGATTGACCCGAGAGATGTATAAAGCACCCCTGTAGAAGCAGCTCTCATGGACTGAAAGGCGGATGGAGTCGAAGACACGTGCGACCTGAGTGGAGAAAATGGCTTTGCAGGAGTCGTCGGTAACATTTTCTCAACTGTGTCAGTGGCTGCTCTAACGGCACAGCTTGCCGAAACAGCTGCCGCCCCCATCTTCTCTTGAAAGGCAGCTGTGGCCTTGGACCCGCCGATTAAGCTGATGGGAGACGGGTATTTCAAAGGTGATATGGATCCGTTCACCATGGCCACCTCTGTGTGCCCAACCATGTGTTTCACGGGGGATGCGGCCACTGTGACTTTAGAAGGTGACACGGCATCGACTGCTGATTGAGCAGGAGACACCACCGATTTTAAAGGTGAAGACAAGAGAGGAGAAGCTGATGTAATGATGGACTTAAATGGCAGGCCTGAAGAATACATGTTAAGGTTAGATTTGGGAGAGGCCGGAGGCGTCATGGTAATGGATGACCTCTCTAAGAGAGACCCAGCGGTGGTCACAGGAGATGTCCGAATGGGGAACCCAGAAGCCGACACCAGCCCTTTCAAACCAGCAGCTTCCGTGGCGGTAGGAGCTCTGACAAAGGAACCGGGAGAGAGTTGGACATTATAGGGAGGCTGGGAAACCATGGTTTTCATAGGCGAGATTGTCCGAAAGGATCTAATTGGAGAAGCTACATCACTAACGGATTTAACGGAAGATGTGGTGGAGGCTCCTAGAGTGGATTTGATCGGCGAAGCAGAGGAAACCGACCAGATGGACTTTAATGGGGAAGCGGTTGGAGTGTTAGAAGACGAGCTGGAGAGGGACGTGAAGCCCGATTTGCTTTGTCCAGGCACAGTGATGGGTGCTGTGGTCCATGACTGATAGGGTCTTGCGGACAAGAATGGCTTGTAGGAATAGGTGGCGGGCAAGGATCTCGTAGCCGTGGCACTCCGTTCAACTGTTTCTTAAATGGTTAAGCCAAAATAATATAGAGATATATAAAACGTAAAAATCAACAAAAATGGTTGAAAAAACAGAGAGACCAGAGAAGAAAATTTGGTCAGTAAACGTCGTAATATTACAAAAAAAGCAAATTACAATTTGTTCGTATGAATCAGAATGAAATAGGTAACAAGCAAGGGCTAAACAGGGAGGGGGGCAAAATAGGAATGAGCCGTGTCATTATGGATAATCAAAAATGTTTATAAAAGGGGGAAATGGAAAAGACAACAGAGAAATGAAAAAACAGAAAAGCACAAGGCAACCGAATCTGCAGACAGTGAAGAAAACAGAAAAGGCTAAAAAGAAAAAAGAAAAAAAAAGAAGTCCACGCTGGTCCAAAGTTAACAGCCACAACCAAAAATTCTTCTCTCACTTCCTATTGACTTTCTGATGTGCTGAATTGGAAGCTTTAAATCTCTCAGTTCCATTTGCCTGTTAATTTATATGTGTCTTTGCTGCCAGCAAGGGTCACAATTTCTTGGGGATTGTCTATTTTTAAGGGCTTTAATCGTTTTGTTAAGTTCTCGTATAGGCTTGTACACATGACTGAGCAACTCTGCTTGAGAAACACTCCCAAATCTTTCATGCAGAGGCACCCTCCCCACCCGAAATCTTTCAAAAGTGACAGGCAATTGATGTGCAAAGTGTGAAGCCAGGGGAATAAAGTCAGACCTCTCTCCCATGCACGCTTTGATTAATGTTCCAGGCTCACAAAGCCAATAAGAGCAAGAGCTTTTCTAACTCAAAGATTAAAAACAACAATGAAAAAAAAAATCCTCTGAATGTTCGAATTATTCATGCAATAGTCCTTTAGCCCGATAAAACGTAAAAAAAAAAAAAAAGCTTCACGTGGAATGACTTTAACAAGCATTTTTCATACAGGGGGAAAAAAAGAGTACAATTGATGAAAAAAACATGGCAAGCGAAGCAACCAAAATATTTTTTTTGTTTCATTTTTATTCATGCATGATTTATCGTGTCAAAACAAGCATGAGGAATAAAATGACATGGGCGGTGTGCTGGGCAGAATACATACATTAATATTCAGAATTTTATTTCCACAGAAAAACATTTTTAAAAAAGAAGAGCCCACTTTTTCTACAAGGCTGAATGTCTTGGCACCTTTTTGAGAACAGTTTTTTTTTTTTTCAAAGCAAGGAATATAAATTCATTTGAAAGCAAATGACGTTTTTTTATTTGGGGGAATGGTTTTCCTGGCATTTCTACTGCTGATTTGAGCATGCTGATTTAATCTGATCCTGAGGACTGCTGGAATTATTAAAAGGTATGACTTTCAAAGAAAAAAAACTCCCTTCCAAAGATAACTGAATTTATTCTTCTAAGATTGAACTGTCAACCCTAAGAATAGGGACTTTGGGAAAGGCTACTCTTCTATCATTAGCCTTCAAAGTTCCTGTTCATAAGATACAAGTGGTGATTTCCTGAATTTGTTTGTTCGTTCGTTCATTCATTCTCAATTTTGGCACTGCCCGACTCCACATTGATTCTGGGAGGCATTGACATGGGGGTATCATGTATAAAGAGGGTCAGCTTCAAATTAGGAAATTCTTAGCTACATTGACCGAGTTTTACAACAAGCTTCTTCCCTTCCTTCTAGTAGAGATACTGGTGGGGTCTGGTAGGTAAGAATGCTCATTGTTTAATTTGAATATTGATTTATAAAGGTTAGATGTAAAGATAATTAAGATATATATAAGCTAAAAATTTATTGATGAACGTAATAAATATGTTTTTACTTAGCTGTAATAACAAAAACTATTAGCTTAAATATGAGATAGTAGATATCAAGAGAAAAAGAGAGGAGGTATTAAATGTTGAAATAAGAGAAATGTTGGTTGCTAAATTTAAGATATTTGGAAATTAACAGAAAATCAGAAGGTTATATTGTATTATTAATTGGTTGATGTAAGATGGTGAGAATTCAAATAGATAAGACGTGTATCCCGAACATTAGATCTTGTGATGGATTGCGATAAAGGGAATTGGGGTTATTTAAAACTTGGAAATTATAAATATTACATGTTAAATTTAAATATTAATGGGACACTAACAATTGGGAAAAACTAATTAGGACATTGATTGTCTATAAAGATGGAATGATAAAATAACTAGGATATGTATAAACTAAAAATTATTGATAAATGTAAGAACGTTATTTTTATTTAATCGATATAATAAGAGTTGTATTAGTTTAACTATGAGACAGTAAATACTAAGGGGAAAAGAGAGGAAACATTTAATGTAATAGTTTGAGATCTGTACTAAAGAGATTTGTATGTTATTGAATTATCAATTAACTCAGCCGTGGGCACGTTGCTTTTTAAAAATTTAAATGTAAAACTAGAAAATCAATAAAATTTTCTTTAAAAAATATATAAAAAGAATGCTCATTGTTTAATTTCCTGTGTGTTGTTACGTTAAGGGAACTGGGGGAAAATGCAATGTGGTAGGTGACAGTCCAGTTCCAGCAGTTGGTGCTCTGTGTCTGTGACTACCGTAGCTAAAATTTCCCAGCGCGGGAATGCGAAAATGTAAACAAGTTTGTATGTTGAGCGTACAAACAAACAAACTGCCGTACAGTGGAAAGTGTAAGCTGAGAGGGCACGGAGTTTTAATCCAGAAGATATGAGAATCAGCTACAAAAGTCAGAGACTGCCAACTGTTGACCATGGCTCGTGTTACCACATTACGCTGAGTTTTTGGAAAGCTTTGAAGATTTGCGCTTGCTGAGGGGAACTCTGAGACGTGAGCTAATCAAAAGATAAAAATGACAATGGACCAAAAAAAGGTCCAGGGTGCTGCTAACTTTGCTCTTCTGTGGGAGAGCTGCCATTTTAAAGCCAACACTCCACTCACAGCAATAACTTCTTCCCCCACCCCCAAAGGGCAACCATCTTGAAGAACGTCGCCATGGAATGCCTGGGCCACACAGGTTTTGAGGAAAAGGGAGGACCATCGTCCTGAGCCAATCCCTGAAAGCACTAATTAATTTATGACACGCTGATAATTAAAAGGATAAAGGCATAACCTCCATGTCAGTGAAATAACCTTCTCGTGTTCTTTTGCTAAAATTGCTTTGTTGATATTTCAAATCAACCTGGCTGTTTTCTTTAAAGCAAGGACACATTTTTTTAGGCAAACAAGAAGCTGGTGTTAGCCTAGTAGACTTACATCGGCGTGTAGTGAAATTTTATTTTAAAATTATATGTATCTATTCACTGTCCAGTCGACCCTACAAAAGGCCATAGGTTGCACTTCTGTAAGGTTAACTGGACAGTAAATAAATGCACATAATTTTAAATTAAAATTCCAACCTTTAGTTCAGTGATGGCAAACCTTTTAGAGACCGAGTGCCCAATCTGCAACCCAAAACCCACTTATTTATCGCAGGGTGCCAGGTGGGCGTGGCCCACTGGGTGGGTGTGGCTTGGTGGTCATGGCAGACTGGGTGGGTGTGGCCAAGGTGGGTGTGATCACCCTCGACGTTGTTCATGGGGAGGGACACCTGTGGGGGCTGGGCAAGGTTGGGGGACATCCAGGGGGTCTCTGGCAGGTGGGGTGGTGGGCAGGAGGCTCGTCCTGTGGGGGTGAGGCGAGGCAAGGCGAGGCAGGGTGGGAGTGCCATTGTCACAGGGCAAGGTGAGGCAGGGGCCGGGGCGGCTGCTGCCCGACACCATCGGCCCCGGCACACCGAGGCCAGCAAGCGCATGGGTGCTGGGATGCATCCAGCCATGTGGGACCTCGGCGAGTTAGCGGGCGGCTGGTTGAAGAGGGACAGTTGCCATCTCCGGGGCATGGCGTGCGTGCCCACAGAGAGGGCTCTGAGTGCCGCCTCTGGCACGCGTGCCATAGGTTCGCCACCACTGCTTTAGTTCCATAGGTTGGAATTCTAGGACTAAGTCTGAAAATACTTTGGTCCAACCTATTCATGTAAAATCCAATTCCTATGTGGAGGGCTATAATACAAAAACAGCCTGTTAAAGTGCCATTAGCTATATACCAGCAGCAAAAGGCAGATTTGTATTAAGAAATTCATGCCATTTGAGAGCAGAAGTGCTATAGACAGTTGCTTTTTTTCTAAAATAAGCTTAATCTGATGTAATGTGTATTTGGTCCCCAGCTGAAACACCACCGAGGGCATCTTTGGATTAACTGTCAATTATGAGATATCACCATCTTGTCTCTGGAAAGGGAGACAGACCAGCTTCTTTGGCTAGGTAACCCCAGAAAACCAATTCTCCACAAATGATTCACGTAGTCCACGGACATTTCAAAAGAAGATGGTTGGTGTCCTTGTTTGAGTTTCTCAAGTTGTTTGGGCCCAAAAGGAGCGCTTTGAATAATTGGAGGGCGTTGCTTACCGAATCGCACCCCTTCCAATGACATAAAATACAACGTTTATAGAAAAAATGTCTCTTTTAATGAAAATTTAGTTTACAATCTTAGTACGTTAGGAAACTCACTCATGCCAGGCTCTGTCAGATAGCTGTAGCGCTTACGTAGAGCTAGGGACACAAAGTTCTGTCTGCGGTCGGTCTTCTCTGTCTGTAAGAAAACATATGTCTTTTTGGAACTTGGAAGAGACATCCCCATTGAAAGCAGATGCCCTTCTGTATTTCAAGCACAGTCTTATTAGCAGAAAATAAAAAGTAACAGAATATTAGCAGAAAATAAAAAATAACAGAGTTGGAAGGGATTTTTGAGGTCTCCTAGTCCAACTCCCTGCTCAAACAGGAAACCCTATACCAGGAGTAGGCAACCTTGGCTCTTTTATGACTCGTGGACTTCAACTCCCAGAATTCCTGAGCCAGCACGGCTCAGCTTGGAAACCTCTCCCTTTCCCCTCAGCATGGCTGGCTCAGGAATTCTGGGAGTTGAAGTCCACGAGTCATAAAAGAGCCAAGGTTGCCTACCCCTGGACTAGGCCTAGGCCGCTTTGTGACTTGTGGACTTCAACTCCCAGAATTCCTGAGCCAGCATGGCTCAGCTTGGAAACCTCTCCCTTTCCCCTCAGCATGGCTGGCTCAGGAATTCTGGGAGTTGAAGTCCACGAGTCATAAAAAGAGCCAAGGTTGCCTACCCCTGCCCTATACCATTTCATTATCCCAGCCTTGTTTTAAACAGCAGTCAGGATAGGCAAAGATCTGCTTTAAAAAACAGGGAATATACCCCTCATCCCATTCATTCCCAGGCTTCAAAAGGCCTCAGGGGTCCAGTGGTGCCAAAAGAAAGAAAAAATCTTGCACTTAAGAAGTCGTAAGAGCTTGAAAGTGATACTGTCTACCTACAGGATACACAATCTGGTTTTATGTTTTCCTGGCCCTGCAGTTCAGAACAACCAACTTTCCATAGGGTGAAGCCCCTTCCCTCACACCCCCTCCAACTGATCTCCACTTTGGTGTGTTTTGATCCAGTTTCAAAGCTTGGATTTTGAACATTTAAGCATGTGCTTAGAGAACCTGCACGAAATAGAAAAACGGAAGGATATTTCACCTTAGAGGGGAGTCCAGTTTGTGCAAATTCTATTGGCATATGTTAAACGTTCAATTTAAAATGAAATAAATTTCACCCTTCTCTTATTCAGATTAAACCTTTCACATAACTGGGCCTATATAGTCCCTTTCTGTGGTAACTAGAGGACGGATGGCCCTAGCTCCATTCTCCCTTTGGGGGGGGCCATAAAAAAGGAAGAACGGACACCCTCGGGGCTAACTATGATTTCACCTAGTATGAGCTGATTTGGGGGCATATACCCCTCCTCTCTCACGGAGAGCAGAACGAACCCAGGGCCCTGTGGGCTAGCTCTGCTGCTGCCCCAATGTCCTAAGTTCGTGAGTATTTGATTCACAATGAAACAGGAAGGAATAAAAATGTGGGGAAATGCTGAACCCCAAAACTTGCCATCCATAATGTCATTCCTAAGCTACATGGATGCAATCTCCGAAGTCATGTTTTATTTAGCAGAACTGGCAAAGCATTTGCAAGATGGCTTTGCCAAATGCCTTGACGTGTCAAGCATCCTTCCTCCAAAGCAAAGGTTTACTACAGTGGTGTGAGTGCTTTCCCACGAGCACGTGTCCAAGTGCATCTACAGTTTGGTTTGTGTCAGGACGTGATCACGGAGGCAACCTAAGAAAACCTCTGAAGCATCAGTGCCTGATGCTAATGGACGTGACCCCCTTTGAAGAGGGACATTTTCCACCCAATGGAAAGTGACCTGGGATCTGGTGCATGCAAGACCCAATGCAGCCCCCTTGAAGACAATCACCTAGCAAGGATAATGGTTGTATCACCAGGTCCCCATGATAAAAGCTCTTCCATCACCACTGCACAGTTTACACCACAGTTATAATTTCTGGCTACAAATGAGAGCACCCACACACTACAAGATTACAGTTATTACACTGAACAAATCAGGCCAGCTTTAACCGAGGTTAATCAAATACTTCTGCCAAAATCAATTTGCACGTAAAGCACAGAAATGACAAGGCACGCCCACTTTAAGGTGAGTACAGAAAGGACAAATAAAAGGCACGGAAGGGGTTGGTTTTTATTTCAATGTGCACAAAGGCAAGAGCGAGGGTTAGCGAACCAGCTTCTAGCAGTTTGTATTCTGCGTCCCTATGTACAGTTTCATACTTTTATTTAGCAATAGTTACAGGAATAGCTACAGTAGTGGCCAAAATTGTGGAATCCTTTTGGGAAAAGTGTATTTTTGAGGTTTGATGGCTAATAACACCACTTTTTGGGGGGGGGAGTAGTACCATAAAATTATATATCAATGGAAAGATAATTTAATCAAGAATATAATGCAACATAGTTTGTTCAATTGTCTGTACTGTATTCTATGAAAAGGTATAGCCAAATAACCAGAAAAAGGAAGCACAACTTGCTTAGGTTGATCTCAGGTAGCTTTCCTTCACCTGATGGTAGCCAATGAGCATGAGTGTTTAGAGAGCCAATCAGATGTCATTTTGTTTTGGCAATGAGCCAATCAGATCACAGTAGGATTCAGTGATTGATGTCCTGTATTGAAGCTGAGAGGAGGACATTTGTCAGTGTGTTATGTGATGGCTATCAAGTTGGTTGGGTTTTTTTGTGTTCTTTCATTGAGTGAGCTTGTAAAACGTAATAAAATTAAAGTCATGGTGCAAAGAGTTGACTGGTCGCCCAGAAAGCGATGTAAAATAGTATTATGAAGTGAACAAGGCTGCAGTTATAAAGGAATTGGAAGAAAAAGGGGTGGAAACTTAACCAAAGGCGGCATTTCTACTGTACACTTTTCCCAAAAAGTTTCCACAATTTTGGCCACTACTGTATAAAAGAAGCAAAATGATTGGGGAATTTAAAGGATGTTTGTTTGAAACGGATAGAAAACAGTTATTTGATAGCTGGGAAGGTTACCAGAATGGTTGAACATCCCAAGTGGTGAGACTTAAAAGGTGCTGAAATTGGTGATTTAAGTCCCATTGACTGCAAAGGCAGCCTAAAGCCCATGTTTAACTCTTCTCAAATTATTGAGATTTTTAACACACTTGACTCAAGCTGATTCATGCTTTTTTTTTTCATATAATGTCCCCTATCAAGGCAATATGAAACGGTTGGCACAACTATAAATTTCACTGAGACAGCCTTCCTCCTTCTTCTCCTCCTTATACTTTGCCAATAGCTGGCAGTTTTGCACCAAGATCCTAACCAGGTATCCTCAGTGTGGTCCTTCCCACATGGGTTGTAACTAACATGTCAGAACAGCTTTTAATTCAGGTAACTGTAATCCCAATTACATCCGGTTTATTTATTCACAAGCGCATTCTCGAGTATTAACTCCTTGTGGTTCAAACACTCTAGAAGGTTTAGAGCAGTGGTTCTCAACCTTTTTAATGTCGCGACCCCAACCGGTCGTAAGTCGAGGACTAAACCAGTCGTAAGTCGAGGACTAAACCGGTCGTAAGTCGAGGACTAAACCGGTCGTAAGTCGAGGACTACCCAACCGGTCGTAAGTCGAAGACTTTCCCTGCCCGGGAGCGCCGCACATGCGTTGTTCCGCCCCCTGCGCCAGCCGAGGTGTATCTGGCAAGCGGCAGAGACGGAGCAGGCCGACCACCAGCTGGCCCAGCCCAAGGGAGGTAAGGCACCCGCCGGAAAAGGGGAAAAAATGGCGGATAAAAAAAATGGTGGACAGCCTTGCTTAGCGACCCCCATGAAATGGTCGATCGACCCCAAATGGGGTCCCGACCCACAGGTTGAGAACCACTGGTTTAGAGAGAGAGGTTTGTATGCCTGTGCCTGTATAACACAGAACGGGTTATATAAATTGTATATGGGAAGTTTGAAGAGGAAATTTGACTATCCGTGATTTTAAATGAATAAAAATGGCTTTTCTGTTTATTGGAAGGAAAATGTGATATTTTCCTGGGGGGGGGGGGAAGTCAGATATTTAAGGTGAAACAGAGTTAGCAAATTTGACTGTAGTTTGCATTAATTTATGTCTAAAGGCGGGGGGTTCAAGCAGACCCATCCCACTTCTGACCTGATTTAAAGTTCCCAGATATGTTTGTGTTCTGCCTCGTAACAGCCTGGCGCTGAAGTAAGAGAATTTAGTAGGTCCTGGCTACCCACAAGGAGCATTTAGCCGAGAACAAGTCATAGGGAAGTACAGTCCATTGACCGTACCCTAGTAAGGGATATTTCCCTCCACAAACACTTGAGAAAAACGTGGCACAATTTTTCGCATGGAAGTTTTACTTTTCTTGTTGAAAGCTGTGTTGTGAAACAGTCCATCGAGGAGGAAGAGGAAGAGGAAGAGGGGAAGCTGAATATGAAATTAGGAAGAAAAGTGCCTCTGTTGCTCTAAGCAGCGTGTGGTACATCATTTGATGCTTGCAATTTTTTCTATTTCACAGAAAAGCATAAACATGCGCGGAGTTTGAGAATTCAGGCTAGAGAAACCTTACTGCAGGGTGACAGAAATTTGAATATAAGCTCTCCATTACAATAAAGGTAAAATAAAAAGCGTTTTGTATTACCTCGTCATCTTGATCTGATTCTGTTTCCTTTTGGTCCCCAGATGAATTGCAGAGACAAGGAATATTATAACGGACCGCAGGGGAAAGAATATCAGGAGATGAAAAAAAGGCCAAGTAAGGAAGCACACAAATGCAAGCTAATTCATAATAGACAAAGCAAACCAATATCAACAACAACAACAAAAAACAGGTTAACAAACAAAACTCTACGTCAAATGCAAATCAACACACGACATTCCTAAAAGCAGAAAGTCTAGGAACTCTAAGCGGAAGCAGGACCTGGGAAGGAAGTTTCCCAGCCTTTTAAAAAAAAAACAAAACAGAAACAACCGTAACTGGGAATTTTTAAAATGCTTCCTGCTGAAAGAGTGCAAAACATGCCGAGTCCCCCCAAAAGTTTTGAGCTCAGAATCACTCAGTGCCAGGACATCATTTTGAACTTGGGATGTTTTCCACACTTCTACTTTCTGCAGACATGAAAAGAGTTACGACGTAGAAAGGCTGGCTTAACCTGAGCGCAAGACGGTCGTTCCTATTGGGTAGCAGGTACTAACTCTTAATGCTGCTACCGGGGCTACTAAGCGGCCACGTTGTCTCCGGGGCTGTACCTTTTTGTGTGCTGGCAGAGTGATGTTCAAGTTGCAAACGGCCGTCTGGGGCAGACCTTTTGTTGTCTTTGGCTCTTTGAGAAAGGATAAGCGGCCACAAGGCTCTTGGCTGGTGTCTCTGATCTACAAGTCAATAAGACAACAGAGGTCGGTTGGAAAGGACGGCTCTACTTTGCATTTCACCTACATTTAGTTTGCCCATTTAACCGAAAGAAGAACCCTCCGGGAATATTTTTTTGAGAATAGAAGGAGTTCCTTTGAACACATACTAAGACAGGATCCCCATCTATGCCCCTACGGCAAGGCTTTTCAACCAGTGGTACGGGTACCACCTGTGGTACACTGGCACCTGGTAGGTGGTACGCGACCATCCTAGAAAAGTGGTAGCAGGGGAGGGAAATGAGCTGAACCGGTGGCAGCACCGCACAAGCCTGAGTGAGAGACGGCTGGAGCTGCAGGGCTGTCAGGGCTCAGTGGAAGCGCCAGGATCAGCGCCAGGCTCCAGCTGGGGCTCAGCACTGATCCTAGCGCTTCTGCTGAGCCCAGAAGAAGCGCCGATCAGCTGGAATGTTGCAGCCTCTCCAGGGTCTTGTGATTTACATTCAGATGCTTGGCAACTGATTCATATTTATGACGGTCGCAGTGTCCCAGGGTCATGTGAAGTGACCAAAACCTGCTGCAACCACCCAGCAGACGGGGGGAATAAAAACCAAACACCCCCCCACCCCACCCCCGCTGCCAATCCTCAACAGAAATGCTCACAACAATGAAAATCTCGGACAGGAGGAAGAGCACCGCCAGGTAGGCAGGCAGGTGTCTTGCTCGGCTGTGGCTTGGGGGGCACTTTTTTCAGTGCCATTGTAACTTCAAACAGTCACTAAGCGAACTGTTGTAAGTCGAGGACTACCTGTACTTTTATCATTTTTTTTCTTTTTTCTTTTTTTTGGGGGGGTCAAGTTTTTGACACCTTGCTAGGCGACTGGTGGTACTCGGATATTGCCGTATCCCAAAAGTGGTACAATGGGTGAAAAGGTTGAAAAACCCTGCCCTACGGTACACATTAGCTTCCCACTCTAGGTTGCCAAAGTCCAACGCTGGGACAGCAACCACGAGGTCCCTCAGTTGTCCTAGCTTCATAAAGCTGCAGGAGTTGGCCAAAGTTTGGGAGCGTTTTCCCTGATGCCCCCCTTTCCTTCGCCACAGGCTTACGTGGCTGTTGCCCTTTAAGAAACGAGCACCCGTCATGAGTAATACTCCTTAGAATCAGGGATGGCAGCTATTTCACACCATCAGGAACGGGGCCAGGAAGGCCACCTAAAAGCTATCAATCTGGGGGCACCAGAAAGATCTTGGCCATTTCCAGACTCGCCGTTTCCAGAGGTGGTGGTGAACACCTGGAAAGAACCTTTTGAACGCCAAACCAACAATCCAGATTGTGTCTCGGTGCAGGGATGCACACAAAGAGCGGCAGCTGGTCTTCAGTTAGGGAGCTAAGAGGAACTGCTGGAAAGCAGCTCAACCATCAGCAGGAAATTCATCCCATGCCTTAGTGGCCTGTCACCATCCCATCTCCCCTAAGAGGTTCGTGTGAAGAGAGTGATGGCACATGGAGAGAGCCATCACCAGAAGTACCCCAAGCCTCTCCTTCCAATTGTCAGTTCACAAGAGCTTTGTCCCCCGATCCTACGGCAGCCGTGGCTTTTACCTTGATAGAAAATGGCAGTCTATTTTCCTTGAAAGCATAAAAATTAAATACAAGCTGTTGTCCTCCTTTGGTTAAAGGAGCTAGATTTCCATAACAATCCACATAAATGGGTTTTCCTTCCAAAACCTGTTGGGAGGGGAAAAAAAACAACCAATTGGATTAATGTCCAAAGAATTACGATAAATAGGAAGTATCCCACTTGGCGAACTTATTCTTCCAGGCTCTTATGAGGCAGGCTACATGCTTTTGATGTGCCTTTGGTTGGAACTGAATTAAACCAAGGCTGATCTGCACAGGCTTCATGTCATATTCGATACATTTTGAAAGGCTCGCCCACAGTCTATGTCACAGTGGTGGCGAACCTATGGCACGTGTGCCAGAGGGGGCACTCAGAGCCCTCTCTGTGGGCACGCACCCTTCGCTCTTTGGCTAAGTTTTCGCAGGAAAAAGCCATTTCTCAAGCTCCTTCCTGGCGAAAACAGAGCCAAAGCGTGCCACGCTCTTGTTGAGAGCAATCCTGCGAAAACAAGAATGACAAAGGACAGCACAGTTAGTTCTGAAAATGAAATCCTTAAAGTGTGGAATTCTCTGCCAAATAATTTTAAGTCAATGAAAGCACTTGGGATTGCTTTCCTTACTTTGTTTGGATCATCTTATGCTTGTGAGCAGCTGTTTTCAGATTTGAATTATATCAAATCTGACACCAGAAACAGACTAACAGATGACCTGAGTGCTGCATGTGTTGCTCTCAAACTGACAAAGCATGAGCTAAGGTTAGACAAATTATCAGCATGCATACAACGGCAGAAATCACATTAATTGTTCAAAAGCATGCCAAATGCAAACCTTTTACCTTTCAATAAAAAGTTGTTTGTATCATTGAAAGTTTTGTTATTGTATTTTTTTTCTTTTAAGACCAAAGATGTTAATGTATGAGTTGTTTTTTCTAAACTAAAACCTCAGTATTCAGGTTAAATTGCCGTGTTGGCACTTTGCGATAAATAAGTGGGTTTTGGGTTGCAGTTTGGGCGCTCGGTCTCTAAAAGGTTCGCCATCACTGGCCTATGATTATCACGAAGACCTTTGCTGTTAAACCACAAATACCTCAATATCTTTGCTTCTTGCAACTTCTTCAAAATTCTCCTGCTGCTCCAGCGTTTTGTCAACTTTGTCATCTGTCATACAGAAGCAGCGCAAATTGGATTCCACCGCATCGTTTGTTTTGGCAAAAATGACGAACTTGGCCATGTAAGGGACACATATCAATTCCCTATATAGCTGTGTGGCCAACCCAACCGTTTCAAGAACTTGATGGCAATCTGCTAGCCAAAATCTAGAGAGGGGAAAGGGAAAGAGACTAGATTAGACAGAGAGATAGGGATAAACAGTTCATTTTCATACAACTAGTTCATAAGGACATGAACAAAATAAATATCCCATTGGAGTACCAATCAAATTACGACTCTTCCTCTATAATCATTATCTGTCTCAATTAGAATAATGTGTCCTGAATGTATACCAAGAGCCCCACAGTTTTTCTTGGATTTTTAGTTTACTTTCAGATGTTTTTCCCCAAAGCTGGAGGCGTACAAACTACAGTAGGGGCCAAAATTGTGGAAACCTTTTGGGAAAAGTGTACAATAGAAATGCCACCTTTGGTTAAGTTTCCACCCATTTTTCTCCTAATTTCTTTATAACTGTAGCGTTGTTCACTTAATAAATACTATTTTACATTGCTTTCTGGGCAACCAGTCCACTCTTTGCACCATGACTTTAATTTTATTATGTTTTACAAGCTCACTCAATGAAAGAAAAAAAACCCCAACCAACTGGATAGTGATCACATAACACACTGACCAATGTCCTCCTCTCAGCTTCAATACAGGACATCAATCACTGAATCCTACTGTGATCCGATTGGCTCATGGCCAAAACAAGAGGACACCCGATTGGCTCTCTAAACACTCATGCTCATTGGCTACAATCAGATGAAGGAAAGCTACCTGAGATCAACCTAAGCAAGTTGTGCTTCCTTTTTCTGGTTATTCGGCTATAACTTTTCATAGAATACAGTACAGATAATTGAACAAACTATGTTGCGTTACGTTCTTGATTTAAATTATCTTTCCATTGATATATAATTTTATGGTACTACTCCCCCCCAAAAAGTGATGTTATTAGCCATCAAACCTCAAAAATACACTTTTCCCAAAAGGTTTCCACAATTTTGGCCACTACTGTATACAGAGTTATGTTTCCTTTCTTTCTCTTATCACATGCGTTCACTTCAGTTGCACCTTGTTGCACAGGAAGCTTATTAAAATCAGAGTTGCAACCTTGGATGATGGCTTGCTTTTTAAGTGCTCTGTACACAGAGGAGCAACAAATGGCAATGTTAAGAGATTAAGATAACCTTTATTGTCATTTTTTTTTTTACTGTGGGCACAACGGCACACATCAAAAATGAAATTTAGTTGCCCGCTCTCAAAGTGAAACACATACATGACATACACCTAAACATACTATGTACAACATATGTATAGACCCATACCCCTACATATATGTAACAAATATATATTAAATACTGTCCATCTTGAATATATAACGGAAGGAGGAAGCTTGAGAGTTCGCAAGGTTAATGCTGTATGGAATGAAACTATGGCTGAATCTGGATGTTCTGCTACGGATACCACGAAGCCCCCTCCTCCCAGAAGATAACAAGGAAAACAGGTCATGGAGAGGATGTGTAGTGTCCCAGATAATCTTGCGGACCCTGCTCAAGCAGCGCTTCTGTGCTATGTCCTGGATGGGAGGGAGGGAACGGCCAATGATCTTTTCGGCCGTCCTCACCACTCTCTGGACCGCCTTCCTGCCTGAAGCAGTGATGCTTCCAAACCAGACTGTGATGCTGTATGACAGGATGCTCTCCATCGTCCCTCTGTAGAAAGTGGTCAGGACAGGGGAAGGAAGATGTGCTTTTCTAATGGGTATTTATAAGTAATGGAGCTGCAGTTCATGAGAGCTGCTTGGGTCATTTAGGGCCATTCTCTATCTACCCCAGAGGGTTGTTGGTATGGGGAAAAAAAATAGGAATAAGGAATGCAGCTGATGAGCTCTTTGAAGAAAACCAGTCAGAATCGTTGTCGTCATCTGGAATTGCATTTTGTGAAACGGGCAGCTATAAAAAATGTGATTAGTAAATTTGATCTTTCGTTTCCAGATGAGGATGAAGGCAGTCTGCTTTTTGCTCTTTGTCCTACCTGGCTGAAACGTTGGTTGTAAAGGAGACACAATCGTTCACAAAAGTAAGGGGGGTGGTCCCCGTGATGTCCTCCCATTGCGCTGGTGAAGTGCCTCCTGACGGAGAAAAAAAAAAAGACACGTACTTCTTTTAAGAAAGAATCTCAGCTTTTTGGCCCAGTCTGGAATTGGGCTTTGGTCTGAGCCAAAGGTTACGAGCTCCCAAATCCCTTAGCACTGGACTCCCGGTCTACTGTTTCAGATGGAAGCCACTAATGGTTTTCCTCCCTGCCTGTGGAGGATGAAAACAGACCTTGGCCTGGGAGAGAAAACATACATGAGTCTCTGGGAGGTGCCTCTTGGGAGGACCCAGCCCCAGTCTGGAAATAAGGGTAGCTGACTAAGGAGATGCTAAAACAAAGAGAATCAAACAGTTGCTAAATATGGTCTCTGGGTAACTTCCGAGAGCAACACACAGTAAGGACACCTAAAAAGTCTGGAGACTTTTGTGCATGGATGATAGATAGGTAGATAGGTAGCAGTGGCGTAGCGTGGGTTGTCAGCACCCGGGGCAAGGCATCCCCCCCTCCACAGTGGGCGGCGTCGGCGACCCGGCGGCTCGGATCGGATTCACACAGCCAGCACTGCAGAGAGAGTGAGTGAGCCAGGCAGGGGCAGAGAGCTGCGAGTGCGAGTGCGCCCCCCCAGATGTTGCGCCCGGTGCGGCCGGGCCCCCCTGCACCCCCCACGCTACGCCTCTGATAGGTAGGTAGGTAGGTAGGTAGGTAGGTAGGTAGGTAGATAGATAGATAGATAGATAGATAGATAGATAGATAGATAGATAGATAGATAGATAGATAGATAGATAGATAGATAGACGGACGGACGGACGGACGGAAGGACGGACGGACAGAGATAGATAGATAGATAGATAGATAGATAGATAGATAGATAGATAGATAGATAGATAGATAGATATGATAGAGAGGGAGGGAGGGAATGAGGGAGGGAGAGAGAGAGAGAGATTGGATGGATGGATGGATGGATGGATGGATGGATGGATGGATGGATGGACGGACGGACGGATGGACGGACGGACGGACGGACGGACAGACAGGGAGGGAGGGAGCGAGTGAGATTGGATGGATGGATGGATGGATGGATGTAGATAGATAGATAGATAGATAATGGGGAGAGAGAGAGAGACAGAGAGACAGAGAGAGATATTCTGAGATTCTTTTACTCCAAAAATGAAAAAATGTTTTAAATACTGTTTAGCAAATTGTTTAATCAGATTTCTGCTGAAAGGAAAAAAATGTGCATCAAAGGTTAAAAGCTTCAGTCAGGAATTTTCAAAAGGAACACAGAAAAATCTAGACGTTGTTCATTAAGAATTCAGCAGACTTCTTATAGAGTTTCTGTTTTCTCCTTCCAGCCTCCCAGCGGAGGTGAATGTGTTGAGTTGGCCTGAAGTTCTAACCAAGCAAGCAGATCAGCTTCTGCCCATCCTGCTCACTCCAGTCGTGGTGGAGCTGGGGAGAAGCCGCTTGAGGCACCCAAGACTAACCCGGGTCACACAACCATTGGAAGAAGCTGCCGGAGGGTTTGCGGTCATCCTAAGGCAGTGATGGCGAGCCTTTTAGAGACCGAGTGCCCAAACTGCAACCCAAAACCCACGTATGCATCGTCGAGTGCCGGGTGGGCGTGGCCCATTGGGTAGGTGTGGCCCACTGGGTGGGCATGGCTGTGGTAGTAACGGCAGACTGGGTGGGACTAAAAAGTTCAATCAATCAATTCCAACTTTGCAAGATCTTTTTTTTCCCGCGAGAAGTTGAAATTGATTGAACCTTTTTTTTTTTTTTTTGCACACGGCGGCGGAGGCCTAAAGCGAAAAGGTTTTATAAAACCCAGCTGAAGGCCTAGGACTGGAGCAACGGCGTGCGTGCCCACAGAGAGGGCTCCGAGTGCCGCCTCTGGCACCCGTGCCATAGGTTCGCCACCACTGCCCTAAGGGAAATGCAGGAGCCCTGCTGGGTCTCACCTGTGATGCTACACAGCAGTCGAAGGCTGGGTATGGTGTCGCCTTTGTACCCGTTGGTCACTCCTTCCCCTGAGGGGGGTGGCACCGGAATCGTCATGGTGATGGGCTTATGGAATTTCCTCCTTCTGGGCTCCACGGTGACAATGGGGCTGAAGGTGGCTTTGTTGCCAAGGATCTTCTTAACCATTTCGTCCTGTACTGGTTGAGCCTAGTATTAATTCCAGAAAGAGTTTTAAATGGCTATAGGCACTGATTTCCAGAAAAAGCGAGTTGTCCTTTTTTTTTTCCAAAATGAGAAGGCTCATTTTGACAGGCCTTGTCCTGTCAAACTCACTCAACATATTCATATAAGCTAAGCTCAAATCTCAGCAACTTAGTGAACATACAATGAAGAGAAGGACGAGGGGGGACATGATAGCAGTGTTCCAATCTCTCAGGGGCTGCCCCAAAGAAGAGGGAGTCAAGCTATTCTCCAAAGCGCCTGAAGGCAGGACAAGAAGCAACGGGTGGAAACTAATCAAGGAGAGAAGCAACCTAGAACTAAGGAGAAACTTCCTGAAGTTAAAACAATTAACCAGTGGAACAACCTTCCTCCAGAAGCGGTGAATGCTCCAACACTGGAAGTTTTTAAGAAGAGACTGGACAGCCATTTGTCTGAAATGATATAGGGTTTCCTGCCTGAGCAGGGGGTTGGAGTAGATGACCTCCAAGGTCCCTTCCAACTTTACTACTACTACTACTACTACTACTACTACTACTACTACTACTACTACTACTACTACTATTATTATTATTATTATTATTATTATTATTATTATTATTATTATTATTATTATTACAATATCTGTGAGCCACAACATGGGACTGGTTATCTCAGGATGGTTTTTGATAGCCATGACACCACCCAATAAATATATGGGCTTAAGAAACGTTTTAAATAAATACATTGATTTCTCCTGCCTGCTGTCACTTGCTCGAGTGTCTTGAACAAAGGACTTCTTGTGATCTGGCCAAGTTGCCCCCAAAGTCCTGAATCTTAAAGGCCTAGTTGCAATCTCACAAGGGATTTATTTTTCCAGGATTCTAGAATAAATTTTGGGGTCATCCCCCAGGTATGAGAAGTACACAGTTCTTAATGTCCTAAAAAAAATCCATACTGAGAATACAGTCAAACAGGAGATGCACGTTGTTCACTGCAGTCTAGACCAGAGGTAGGCAGCCTTGGCTCTTTTATGACTCGTGGACTTCAACTCCCAGAATTCCCGAGCCAGCCATGCTGAGGGGAAAGGGAGAGGTTTCCATGCTGAGCCATGCTGGCTCAGGAATTCTGGGAGTTGAAGTCCACAAGTCATGAGGGGGCCATAGTTCCCCCACGCTGGCTCAGGAATTCTGGGAGTTGAAGTCCACGAGTCATAAAAGAGCCAAGGTGGCCTACCCCTGGATTAGGTGGAACCAACAGGCCCAAAATCCCTAGGGTGCTTCTGTGGCTAAAGAGTGGGGTGTCTTTTCACTCCGCCCCAGACCTTGCTTATTAGGAAATCCCAGGGCCGTGGAGTAGATGGTGTGTATATGGGGGGGCGGGAGGGAGAGAAAACCTTTTGAGGAAAGCAATGGAAAATAGCTACAGTAGACATGTCTGAAAGCAGCCATGTAGAAATACCCCAATAGGTAGGAGTAGAGACTGCATTGTATTCAGATAGTGGGGGGGATGATGGGGACTGTAGTCTGACCCATATGGAGAGGATTGGTCTACACCAGGGGTAGGCAACCTTGGCTCTTTTATGACTTGTGGACTTCAACTCCCAGAATTCCTGAGCCAGCATGGCTCAGCTTGGAAACCTCTCCCTTTCCCCTCAGCATGGCTGGCTCGGGAATTCTGGGAGTTGAAGTCCACGAGTCACAAAAGAGCCAAGGTTGCCTACCTCTGGTCTAGAATATGACATTCGCTTTTCCAGATCCATGAAACATCATTCCAGGGCCTCAAAAACAGCAGGTATGGTATCATTTCTGTAGGAGATGTGAAACTTTCCTGAATTCAGCTTTAAGGATAAACATTCGCGACAGATATCAGGTCCAATGAATGCAGATTAATGCCTGGCCCCCCTTTTTAATTCACTTCTTGTAAATTAAATCAGTTTCACCACCAAATGGGGGAATCTAAAGGAAGCCTCTTTGGGGTGACAGAACAAAAAATTTCTATCTGTGTGTTGATACAATAAAAGATATTGTTTCACTTCATCCTGAATAGAGTTGAGAGGCTAGATAAGACCCAAAAGGTTAATAAAATGTTAAGATACTGTTTCATTTTATCCTGAATAGAGTTGAGAGGCTAGATAAGACCCAAAAGGTTAATAAAATGTTAAAAGGGACTTTTAGGGTTGAGAGAGAGGACTGGAGAACAGCTGTAGCCTCTCTCCATGGGAGGTCAAGAAAGAAGTCCTGCCAGATTAACGTTAGAGATGAAGGAGAAAAAAGATTCAATCTTTTATAAAACCTGGGGAAAATTTTATCAGTGGGTTGAAACACGTTAGAATAAGAAGAGATTTTAGAGCTTTATTATATTAAGTATTAAGGTTGATGATTGGAAATAGCTGTTATGCTATCAACTATGTTAATTATTTAAAGGAATATTAGTGTTTTACCAAATGTCAGTTGTAACTATACTGATTTATTCTTTTTTTTATTATTAAAAGTTTTATAAAAGTTTTACAATATAATTGCTCCCTCTCCAAAACCCTCCCTCCCCTCCCCCCTCACTTCCCAGAGCTAATCACAGGGTTAACAATAGGATAATCATATTCTAACTAACATTAATCAATCCGATTTATTCTTATAAATGTCTAGTATTATATAAACAATAATATTCAATATGAAGACCCGGACGACAGCTTGTTCGCTGAATTATGTATTTACTGTAGTTATCCACACCCTGTCCCCTTTATCCCGATTTTCCTGTACCCGCACCGACCCCACCTTTTCCCTACCCATATAAAATCTAATAAAATATACTGCTCAAAAAAAATAAAGGGAACGCAAACCCCTTCAGTTCCATGTTAAAATGTTCCCTTTATTTTTTTGAGCAGTATATATTTAAAAAAGAAAGAAAGAAAGAAGTCCCTGCCTTGTCTGTTCACCAAGATCCAACTTGGCTCAGAAGGATGTGCAGAAATGGGACTGCTGTTCTGTTGGGCCCGAATGGATCCAGCCAGGCCCTGATCTGAAGCTTCTCCTCCATGGGGTTTCTCAAGACAAGAAGCTCCCTTACCTGGAGGCCCACACGGATTCTTTTTGTCAAGGCGCCTTCAGGGAAAGCAGCTTGGACCCGAGGCAGAGTGGTGCTGCTTAGGATGCCTCCTTCTGGCCCGATCTGGTTGCTCTCTTGCTTAATTCGCGAGACCACCGCAAAATACTGAGGGAAGTCCTTGGTGACGATCCTGCAGATCCGTTTCTTCTCCAGCTCTTCCACGCTGTCCATCTCTAAGAAAGGAAAACGGTCCAGACTCATCTTCACGGAGAATTTCCCCCCCTCCCCAGAGAATCCCTTCACTCTTGTCAGCCTCCCGCTCAAACCTCTCCGAATCAACTTTGAAGCATGCAGGTTTTAGTTTTACAAGCACTTCTGTTCCTATTTCAAAGCTTGCTATTATAATTCTTTTCTCAGAATGCGATTGGTTGAACTTTTGAGTCAGGCAAGAATTAAATATGGCTCCGGAGCCGATGTGCTAATTAATTTACAGTGTAATTAATTTTTCTCCCCAAGTAGTAGTAGTAGTAGTAGTAGTAGTAGTAGTAGTAGTAGTAGTAGTAGTAGTAGTAATAATAATAATAATAATAATAATAATAATAATAATAATAATAATAATAATAATAATAATAATAATAGTAATAATAAAGTTGGAAGGGACCTTGGAGGTCATCTAGTCCAACCCCCTGCTCAGGCAGGAAACCGTACACCATTTCAGACAGATGGCTGTCCAGTCTCTTCTTAAAAACTTCCAGTGTTGGAGCATTCAACGCTTCTGGAGGCAGGTTGTTCCACTGGTTAATTGTTCTCACTGTCAGGAAGTTTCTCCTTAGTTCTAGGTTGCTTCTCTCCTTGATCAGTTTCCATCCATTGCTTCTTGTCCTGCCTTCAGGCACTTTGGGGAAAAGCTTGACTCCCTCTTCTTTGTGGCAGCCCCTGAGATACTGGAAGGCTGCTATCATGTCCCCCCTCGTCCTTCTCTTCATTAAACTAGACATACCCAGTTCCAGCAACCGTTCCTTATATGTTTTAGCCTCCAGTCCCCTGATCATCTTTGTTGCTCTTCTCTGTACTCTTTCCAGAGTCTCAGCATCTTTTTTACATCATGGTAAATGAACAATTTATAGTTAAAACTTAAAAAGTATAGCCGTATTCTTCAACAATCATAATACACCGGCAAACATTAAAAAGAAGGATTTGCAGCTTAAAATCGCTTTCTTTTGATTCCAAATCTCCGGACAAGCACGTTCAATAGCAATGCCCAATGTCCAAATAAATCTTAAATGGTTGAAAATGCACAAGCTTATTTAAAAAAAAAAAATTCCGAGCCTTTTAATAATAACATTTGTAGTCTGCCAGACTCTTTCTGATTTCTGACTGTCCTCCAGCAACATCTGCTAGATCAAGAGAGTCACATTCTGAATCTGCTTGATGTCTCGGTCCCTTTTAATATCTATCTTGGCCAGCAGATGGTGTTTTACTCAGCAAAACCATGTTGGCTTTAACATTAAAAAAAAAAAGGCAAAAGGGAGGGGAATATTTATAGCAGACAGCAAAGCACCAGAGAGCTGGGAGTGCATCTGAGAGCAGGTATAATGCTTATTTAGCAATTTCTTCTTTTGAAGGATACCTTTCCCACAGAGAGATTCTTGGAGACTCCCCAAGCAGGGATTCATATGAGCACATGGCCTGAAAAAAAAAAGGCCTGAAAAAAAGTCAGAAGAACAGCAATGATCCAGGGATAAAACCAGAAGCATTAGAGAACAACTGTGCTGCTTAGCGAGCCCTATCCTGTTGCAGGCAGAACAAAAATATTAAACAAATAAAATATCAGCACCGTGTTAACAAAAATGTCAAAAGTGGTAAAAAAAAAAAACAATAGGAAAAACTATAAGACTAGATTGTGATGGTCAAAGGGTCATCCTTTGTTTCTGCTGGAAATCTGTACAAGGAAATCTTCCCCACTTTCCTCAATGGTCCCAATGGTAAGGACTATACAGACTCTAGAAAGAGTACAGAGAAGAGCAACAAAGATGATTAGGGGACTGGAGGCTAAAGCATATAAGGAACGGTTGCTGGAATTGGGGATGTCTAGTTTAATGAAGAGAAGGACGAGGGGGAACATGATAGCAGTGTTCCAATATCTCAGGGGCTGCCCCAAAGAAGAGGGAGTCAAGCTTTTCTCCAAAGCGCCTGAAGGCAGGACAAGAAGCAACGGATGGAAACTAACCAAGGAGAGAAGCAACCTAGAACTGAGGAGAAACTTCCTGACAGTGAGAACAATTAACCAGTGGAACAACCTGCCTCCAGAAGCGGTGAATGCTCCAACACTGGAAGTTTTTAAGAAGAGACTGGACAGCCATTGATCTGAAATGGTGTAGGGTTCCTGCCTGAGCAGGGGGTTGGACTTGATGACCTCCAAGGTCCCTTCCAACTTTATCATTATCATTATTATTATCATCATCATCATCATCATCATCATCATCATCATCATCATCATCATCATCATCATCATCATCATCATCATCAGGGGACTGGAGGCTAAAACATATAAGGAACGGTTGCTGGAATTGGGTATGTCTAGTTTAATGAAAAGAAGGACGAGGGGGGACATGATAGCAGTCTTCCAATATCTCAGGGGCTGCCCCAAAGAAGAGGGAGTCAAGCTATTCTCCAAAGCGCCTGAAGGCAGGACAAGAAGCAGCGGATGGAAACTAATCAAGGAGAGAAGCAACCTAGAACTAAGGAGAAACCTCCTGACAGTTAGAACAATTAACCAGTGGAACCTGCCTCCAGAAGCGGTGAATGCTCCAACACTGAAAGTTTTTAAGAAGAAACTGGACAGCCATTTGTCCAAAATGGTGTGGGGTTTCCTGCCTGAGCAGGGGGTTGGACTAGATGACCTCCAAGGTCCCTTCCAACTTTAGTATTATTATTACTATTATTATTACTACTACTACTACTACTATTATTATTATTTTCATTCATTCATTCATTCATTCTTGCACCGCCTCCATTCGGGCCAGGGATGTTTGCAAGGCGAGCGCAGTTACCTTCATTCATGCCGTTCAGGATGTCCGTGAGGTTCTCGTGCTTGCTGTCATACTGGTGCTCTTTCCAGGTCTCCCCGTTTTCGCTCCGCAGCACGATCAGCTCTCGTTCTTTTCCCCGCATCGATCCAAAATGGGGGATCTCCACCACAACCGGGCTGCATCAAAGAAAGAGAAAAGCCATTGAGAGGCTGGATGGCTACCGACGGGCAGTTATTTTTCCACGGGTCCTCAGGGACGAGAGCTCCGTTAGGTCATCCGGTTGCAAGCAATTAACAACGGGCAAAGCCACAAAACCTTTCCCGCTTGTCCTGCAAGTGACCGTTTGATTCACTCCGACGCCAAACTGGGGAGAAGGGGGGAAGCAAACACGGGAGTGCTGGCAAAGGTCGATTCATACGAAAACGAGAAGTTACAGAAATACACACAAGCAAACGAAAAGAAACTGTTGGAAGCTGCTTAGGCAGAAAGAGGCCATAATCGGGAGACGTGACCTGGCGAGAAAGATCGGCCGAGACAACGCCAGTTTGAAGGAAAGCACCTGAGCTGCTCTACGTCATGCAATGGATGTTAATGTGACAATATATATATATATATATTCTGCATTCATAATTTCTTCTGCTTTGGGCAAGCGTGAAAAGAAAAAAAAACATGGTGCGCAGAACCCAAAGGACTGGGAATCTTACCCAGTACTTGCCTGGCCTCCTGTTGAGACTGTCCCAGCTCTCTCTCCCCTTCTTGGCCACGGATATTGCTGGAGCCACAGAGGCCACCACTTTGCTTAGTAACTCCCAAGAGTTCCCATTTCGCTTTATCTCTTGTGGAGTACAGGGTTAGATGGATGCCTATGAGACCGATAACTGGACAGATGGATGTCTTTGACTATGCAAACAGAGAGAGGGCTGATCCTGCCCTTATCCAAAGTACAAAACTTACTCGGGGTTAGTGTGTGTGTGTGTGTGTGAGAGAGAGAGAGAGAGAGAGAGAGAGAGAGAGACAGACAGACAGACAGACAGACAGACAGACAGACAGACAGACAGACACAGAGAAACAGAGACAGAAGAGGGAGGGTGGGAGATAGAAGGAGGGAGAAAGTGAGAGAGATGGATAGAGGGAGAAAGAGGGAGAGAAAAAGAGAGAAAGAGAGAGGGAGATGAAGAGGAAGAGAGAGGAAGGAGAGGGAGAGGGAGAGAGAAGAAAGAGAGGGAAAGAGGGAGATGGGGAGAGAAGGAGAGGGAGAAGGAGAGAGATAGCGAGGAGAGAGAGAGAAGGAGGGATGTGAAGGGGAAAGAAAGATAGGGAAAGGGAGATGGGAGAGAGAGGGAGGGAGATGTATAAAGAAAGGGAGGGTGGAAGAGAGAGAGAGAAAAAGGGAGAAGAGAGAGACGGAGAGGGAGAAGGAGAGGGAAGGAGAAAGAGAAAGGGAGAGGGGAGAGAGGGAGGGACACAGAGAAAGAGGGAGAGAGGGAGGGGGAGGAAAGAGAGAGGGAGTAATATGGAGGGAGAAGAGAAGGAAAGGGAAAGAGAGAGGAAGATGGGGAGAGAAGGAGAGAGAGAGGGAGGGAGACAGAGAGAAAGAGAGAGAGGGGGTGGGAGAGGGAGGGAGACAGAAAGAAAGAGGGAGACAGAGAAAGAGGGAGGGAGAGGGAGAGAGAGGGAGGGAGGGAGGAGGGAGGGAGGGAGACGGGGAGAGAGACAGAGAGCGATAGAGGGAGAAAGAGAGAGAGCGCGGGAGAGGGAGAAGGAGAGAGGAGGGGAGGAAAGGAAAAGGAGAGAAAAATAGAGGGAGGGAGAGGGAGACAGAGAAAGAGGAAGAGAGGGGGAAGGAGAGAGGGAGGGAAAAGAAAGAGAGGGAAAGGGAGAGAGGGAGGGAGATGGAGAAAGGAGGAGGGAGAGAAAGAGGGAGAGGGAGGGAGAACAAAGGGAGGGAGGGAGAGGGAGGGAGGGAAGGAGACGGGGAGAAAGAGATGCTTTTCACTCTGTGCCTCCAAAAATTCTCTCCAAAGAGGGATGACACAAAGAAGGATGACAAAGAGGGCTCTCTTTTCTGCCCAGCCTAGGAACTGCACCGAAGGGGAGCAGGGAGAGGCTGTGCAAGTCTCAAGAAGGTGGTTTGTGCTGCGGCCCACGGATTTTTCCCTTTGCTGAGAAAGAAACCCTCCCTGCAAAACAGCATCTCAAAAGAAGAGCCACATTGCAGACAGGCTACTCTTTCTTCTTGGATGGAGAGCAGAGCTGCCTCAGCAAAAGGCGCGAGATGAAATCAGACAACGGAATGACTGCCACTAAAAAGCCGAAGATGCCATGGGATGCCTAAGTCCTACGGAGTTCCAGGAGACTCGTTCCATAATAACCACATCCTGGACTGGGCTATCAGGGACCGATCACCCGTTTTGGGATCCCGTTTTCCTCCCGTTCCTTATATTTATTTATTTGTTCGTTTGTATTTATTTATTAAATTTTCTGGCGACTCTCTCTCCCACAAGACGACTCTCCCACAAGACGAATCTCCTGCTGGTTTTATAGAAAAGATGAGGCTTGAACATGGTTGAGAAGGGGGAAAATGGGCAAGCTTCTACTCGGAGATGTTTTCCAACCTCCGAAGCTATTTGACAACCCTGAGATTTATTTACTCGACACATTTATATGGCCACCCAACTCACACAATATGTGAGGCTTACACCATTAAAATTCTGTGATAGAAAAAAAAAACCCTAAGACCAGTCCTGGCTCAAGAAGAACTCTTGGACAATTAAAATTAAATTTTGGTTTGGAGGGCTGCCCCGGATCAAACGGAAGGGCTACCGCTCTTCCGTGATCAAGCGGGGATCCCCTCCTTGCTGGTCGCCCCTACAGGGTGACTTTCGACCCTTTCCAGGGTCCCCAACGAAGCAAAACTGGACGTGGAAGATAGAGCTCGCCTTCCAAACGTCCATGGTGGCCGCGTCGGCAAACTGGACGTCTCGGCAAACTGGAATTAAATTTTGGGGTTGGACCAGCCACGAGTGTTTGGCCAGGTTCTGCTTCCCCTTCTGGGGCCATTTTCCAATAGACTACAGTACGCCGAGTAGGAACTCTGCCATGGGGTGATGGCTGTAGCAGAGCAGCTCCATCTTGGGAAGGGGTGTCTGCAGGACATGATCAGAAAAGTCAAGATGGAGGCTACCATGCTGTCGTCAAAGCTCCCGCTACCACAACATCATGTCTGCTCTCTTCTCTTTTTTTTGACCATACACTTAGGATACCCCTGTCTGCCACTGTTGTAACTTACTTGTAAGTTAGTCAAGCGATCAGCTGCATACAACCCACCCCTCTGGATCTTTTCCCAAGTATCAAAAAGCAGGCAATTTGCCGAGTCACACAACACAGCGATCCTGCATAGCTGTATGCACACCCTGAATTAGTTAAATCCTGTCCCTCTTTTCCAACCCCCTCTAAGTAACAGACATCACAACTCTGAGCCTTCTGCCCAGAATTGCAAACACCAGTGTGGAAAACTAAGCAGAGGCACCCTTCTTTATTTTCTACATGAAAAATTTAATCACAGAAAGGTAGGCCTTTGTGGATTGTGCAGCTTTCATATATTCCGGTAATTTCTTACAAAGCTTTATCGGTGGGAAACAATCGTATTTTACCACCACAGAGCAGCTGACCATGCTGAGAAAAAGGCAGTGAACACTCAATAAATAAGCAGGAATGGGACACAGGTTTTCGTCTGCGTTTCCAGCTATGGCATTAGAAACAGCAGCATTTTTAAGAGGGACAGTTAGGACATCCTCCAATTAATTTCGGCTCTTTCACCCCACTGATTTTATTATTTACATGCTTAATGCCATGAAGTGGAAAGATTTTTAACTCTACATAAATTGTGCCTTTTCTTATTTTGTTATCCAAATTACGTGATTGGAAGAAAAGCAGCAGCATCTCCAAGGGCTGCTGCGTTTGGTAATCTAACTTTAACTCGGCACTCCCCGTGTACAAAATACTGAAACACAACAACAATTACTTTCTGAATGCAATCTCTGTTGGCTGGATAAAGCCCACACAGCCATGTCCATGAATAGAAACAAAACTCACAGGGAAGGTAGAACAGGGGCTCAACACACGACTTGGAATAGCAGGGTAGATTAAGTTCCACCAGTGTGGAATACCAGCTGTCAACATATTTAAGGAGTTCAACGATTCTAAATATGAATTCTTTTCAGATGACTGCAAATGGGCAGCGCCCGTGTGTCAATTCTAAACATAAATGCGTGTAAACTAGAGACACGCACGTATAGAAGTATAAATTCTATATACTTTTAATTTATAAACATTTAAAAGAGTGTGTGTGTAGAGATATGCAACTAGATATGGAAGAGCTAGATTGGAGACAGCGAGGCATTTCATATAGGGAACAGGAGATCCTCCTTTGCTGATAGGATTAGTCAACCTGCCACGCCTCGTCCTTTCAAGGACTGCCTGGCTGCAATCACACTCATACAAGCTTCCCCAGGCAACTTAAATATCTACATAATTTTTTTTAAAGTTTTAATTGGGGAACAGGGGTTTGGTAGCCTTAAGTATTGTTCAAACCAAGCCCATTTCATTGAGTTCGGCTTCCATGTGCAGCCTGCAACGCTTGCAGTAACCCCGTGGTGGCAAACCTATGGCACGTGTGCCACAGGTGGCACGCAAAGCCCTCTCTGTGGGCACGCGCACCGTCGCCCCAGTCCTAAGCCTTCAGCTGGGTTTTATAAAACCTTTTCGCTTTAGGTCTCCGCCGCCGTGTGCAAAAAAAAAGAAAGGTTCAATCAATCAGTCAATTTCAACTTCTCGCGGGGAAAAAAAAATCTCACAAAGTTGGAATTGATTGAACTTTTTAGTCCCGCCCAATCTGCCGTTACCACTGCAGCCATGCCCACCCAATGGGCCACACCCACCCGATTGACCACATCCACCCAATTGGCCATGCCCACCCAATGGGCCAAGGCCACACCCACCCAATGGGCCAAGGCCACCCAGCACCCGACGATACATAAGTAAGTGAGTTTTGGGTTGCAGTTTGGACACTCGGTCTCTAAAAGGTTCACTATCACTGCACCAACCCAAACAATGAGGAGCGTCTTCCCAACTGGGTCTTCTCCAGAGAATTTGACTATAGTGTCCTGATAGGTCTTGGCAAGGAAGCTGGAGGGGGCTTTTCCCAGGGAACAAGGAGACAAAGAAGCTTGGCGTCTTTGGTATGAAGGAAAAGGGCGAAGGCAGACCCCCGCCCACCAGTTTGCAGGGTATATCTAATAGCCTTGCGGATAAGTGCTTTAGCCTGGCAAGACTCTGTCTACTGACGAGCAACAGTGAAGAAACTACTCAACGTTTCTTTGCTTTGAATCAGAGCCATTCTTGGTTCCTTTGGCCTGACCCCATCTTAGATCTGAATCTGGGCCGCCCTTGTATTATGAATATTGCTTGCTGAAAATGACCCAATTTGGGCCATCTTCTTCTTCTTCCACAAACTGACCTCAAAGCCTCGCCAAGAATTCTATCCGCAAGATTAAAACAAACACGTCTTTGGGGCGGACCTTTCTTTTTTCCAACGCAGCCGAGACCGTAAGAAAAAGCTATTCTAAAAAAAAAAAAAATGAAGAAAAAGCACAGAACGTATGAAAGCAGAAAGGCTTGCTGCGAATTCCAACATGCTCGAAGCACACCAGTGTCAGCTGGACAGGAGCCGTGTCAAGACTGCCAATCAAGCCACTATGGTTTCCACTGCCTGTGATATTTAAACCAAAGCTGTTGCTGTTTTGCTGTTGACTGTCGTGGGGAACGTAAAAGAGATGGGCATGATCAAAACACAAAAACCAGAAAAGAAAGAAAGAAAGAAAAGAAAGAAAAGAAAAAAGCAAGTCAAAACCGAAAACGAGGAAGAAAAGAACCGCAGGCATTGGATATCTTTGCTTAGAAAGAGCCTACCCAGTGAATTTGGTCCCTTGAGGCCCAAGCTGCAGGACTCGGCTAATCAGGCTCTCGCCCTCATTTAAAGGGGGAGGATTGGCGGGAAGATGCAGTTTACTAGTAGCATCCATGCAGCAGGAAGGAAAAACAAGAGGGGGAAGTTAGGAGCCAGAGGTTATCAGGATAGGAACCTTTCTACCATTGAGAAATATTGGTGGATGGATTGACGGCTACCGTAGGCTTATCTGCAGGTTAATTCTTCTCCTACTCTTGGTGAGCAACACTCAAGGAAGAAGGAAAGGTGGAACAGCGTGTTTCTTTAGAGAGATGGGGTGGGGTGGGTGGGTTTGGGGCATGGACTGCTCTGCACATGAGTGGGTAGTACTACCAAGCCTGATTTGACCCCCATGAGAGAGGGAGGTCTCTGCTGAATGGCCTCCTTTCCTCCTTCCGTCCCACCTGTTCAAGAGGAACTCCCTCTAGGCCAGGGGTAGGCAACCTTGGCTCTTTTATGACTCGTGGACTTCAACTCCCAGAATTCCTGAGCCAGCCATGGTGAGGGGACAGGGAGAGGCTTCCAAACTGAGCCATGCTGGCTCAGGAATTCTGGGAGTTGAAGTCCACGAGTCATAAAGTGGCCTAGACCTAGGCCAGAGGTAGGCAACCTTGGCTCTTTTATGACTCGTGGACTTCAACTCCCAGAATTCCTGAGCCAGCATGGCTCAGCTTGGAAACCTCTCCCTTTCCCCTCAGCATGGCTGGCTCAGGAATTCTGGGAGTTGAAGTCCACGAGTCATCAAAGAGCCGAGGTGGCCTACCCCTGCTCTAGGCTCTACAGGGAGTTGGCCTCTGCTGAAGCAGCACACGTCACAAACAAATCCACGAAGACTCGGGAGGGCGATCACGATAGGAAAGACAACCGACGAAGGAGGAAAAGCAACTCGGGCGATCAGCCCGGAGGGCCACTTACCCTAGGAACTGTGCCCCGGAAGGCCCCATCTCAATCAGCCGGCTGGCTAAGCCTTCTCCTTCAACCATGGGTGGCGGGCTGGCCAGCTTGGCTCTCTTCACCAAGCGGCACGTGATGCGGGTGGGAGCCGTGCACTTGCGTGGCGGGATGATGATCCTCATGCCGTGGTGGCGGCTGCCGCGCATGGAGCCTCCCCGGGCGTCCACCATAAAGCTGACCAGGAAACTGGAAGAGGAAATGGGGGCAGCGTCAGGAGAAGCTGGCACGGGGCACAAGATCTCTTAACACCCAACCTGATTGCACTGAGAAGGAAATGCTTTCTGCGAACAGCTGGCACTTATGGGCACCATTTGGGTGCAGGTCTACTCAGGGACAACTGAGCTCACCTCTCTGCTCCCGGGAGCAGCCAAGACCAAGACGGCTGAATTTGGATAAAACTGCAGGGGCCTGGGTGGCTTTGGGGCAGCTGTTTTCCCAGCAAAGGGTACAAATAATTCTTTGCATGAGAGATTATTTGGAGGAGGAACAGCTTTCCCCCCCCTATTTTGATCACGATTGCATGATATCATGGCTAAGGATTGCACAGCCCCTCCTATCGTGAAAATATCAGTGTATGACTCACGCCCTATCAGCCTGAGCCATTAATCATTTAACCATTCTTTACATTCTATTTCTTCAGAAACTATCGGAGCAACGTGCAGGCGTGACACTTTTTCCCCTAAAAATAAAATTTAAAAAAGGCTTTGGGCCGAAAAACCTGTCTCCTTTCTTTTTTCCTTAAAATCTCTCCTCTTCAACCCAAACTTGGTGTTGTTCTACTGGAGTTCCTCGTAGTTGGTTTCTTAAAGAAAGCAGCCAACTTCGATCCCATGGGGGATGTTCCGGCTTTCTTTTGAAAAATTCTTGCAATTCTGCGGAGATTAGAGGACAAAAATAAGGCCTCCTTGAGTCAAGCGTAGCTCCTGGTGGCTTTGTGGGCATCCAAGTGGGCTTCCTTAGTGATAAACAACACTTAGGAAAGGAGTTTGCCATCTTCAAGACTGACCGTCACCTTCCCAGGCTAGCCTGCAGTTCCTCCAGGATTTCCTGGTGTCCGTCCTCCAGGTCTCACCCTAGTCCAGCCTGAAGATCAGGCAGGTTGATGGACCAATGAGCCAGACAGGATAGGGCAGTGCAGCTGAGAATGAGTTTTTCTCAAAATTTGATCTGGCAGAGGTATGATGCTCCAAGACCAAGTTATAGCCTTGTGTGTTCCCTTCACACTTCTCAAACGGAATGGGACGCAATCAGAAGCTCATTTGCGGTGAGGTCCATCTAGCCCTCAAGTCTCTGCTGAAATTAAATACCATTTATTGAAAGAGGTCACAAGAGCTCCTATGAAAGCAATGGCAGACCACTTCCATATGGTTCTTCAGAAAGCAACTAGTTTCCCTAGCGCAGGGGTAGGCCACCTTGGCTCTTTTATGACTCGTGGACTTCAACTCCCAGAATTCCTGAGCCAGCATGGCTCAGCTTTGAAACTTCTCTTTCCCCTCAGCATGTCTGGCTCGGGAATTCTGGGAGTTGAAGTCCACCAGTCATAAAAGAGCCAAGGTGGCCTACCCCTGCCCTAGTCCATTCGCCCTTAGAGCTGCCTTTACAAAATAATTGCAGCTTTCATTTTGCCTACTTCAAAGGATACTTTAAACTGCTCTGGGTTAGTTTGTTCGTTTCTTGCTACCTTAACTTGCCTGGCACCTTATCCTAAAGCAGGTTTTGTTTCGTTTTTTAATTAGCTATCCTTTCCACATTTCCAGGCCTAAAATCTCGGTGTGATTGCAGATTAAAAAGCTGCTTCCTTCAAATTCTTGATTTTTATTTTTATTTTAAAAAAATAGATTTTGGATTGACATTGATTTTACAGAGATGGAAGCATGCCAAAAAACCAAAAATCGCTCTAAAATCTGGTGCATCTTCTGCCCGGGAGTACATTGCCAATTTGTCGCATGTGTATTAATTTTTGCCCTGAGGCTCCAACCTGGTTTTCCTCCCCTATGCCAGGAAAGTGATTTCTTTATTTCCTCAAAAGATTTAGATCAGTGGTTCTCAACCTTTTTAATGCCGTGACCCCCCAACCGGTCGTAAGTCGAGGACTAAACCAGTCGTAAGTCGAGGACTAAACCGGTCGTAAGTCGAGGACTACCCAACCGGTCGTAAGTCAAGGACTTTCCCTGCCCGGGAGCGCCGTGCATGCGTGGTTCCGCCCCCTGCGCCAGCCGAAGCATAGCTGGCAAGCGGCAGAGACAGAGCAGGCCGACCACCAGCTGGCCCAGCTCAAGGGAGGTAAGGCACCCGCCGGAAAAGGGGAAAACAATGGCGGACAGCCTTGCTTGGCGACCCCCGTGAAATGGTCGATCGACCCCAAACGGGGTTGCGACCCATAGGTTGAGAACCGCTGATTTAGATGGCTGCCCATCCTAAGCAACTCTGGACAGCTCAGAACTTCTCTTTCACTCTTGGGGAGTCCACCCCAGGACACGCAGTGCATCAGGACGTTGTCTCAAAGAGAATTGTCTTCCCTTCCCAAACCTTGACATGTCCCAAGAACTCAGCTTATTTTTAAACGGCTCCCTTTTGGCTTGTTTAGTCTAATCAACAAAACTCCTAAGTTTGCAAGGCCTGAAGGCTTTTTGAGTGAGTTTCCTAAACCAGGGCTTTTCAACCAGTGGTACGGGTACCACCTGTGGTACATTGGCACCTGGCAGGTGGTACGTGACCATCCTAGAAAAGTGGTAGCGGGGGAGGGGAATGAGCTGAACTGGTGGCAGCACCGCACAAGCCTGACCAAGAGATGGCTGGAGCTGCAGGGCTGTAAGGGCTCAGCGGAAGCGACAGGATCAGTGCCGCTTTCAAGCTGATCGGCGCTTCTTCGGGGCTGTCAGGGCTCAGTGGAAGAGCCAGGATCAGCGCCAGGCTCCAGGTGGAGCTCAGCGCTGATCCTGGTGCTTCTGCTGAGCCCTGAAGAAGCACCAATCAGCTGGAAAGCAGCGCTGATCCTGGCGCTTTTGCTGCGCCGATCAGCTGGAATGTTGCAGCCTCTCCAGGGTCTTGTGATTTACATTCAGATGCTTGGCAACTGATTCATATTTATGACGGTCACAGTATCCCAGGGTCATGTGAAGTGACCAAAAACTGCTGCAACCACCCAGCAGATGGGGGGGAATAAAAAACAAACACCCCCCACCCCACCCCCACTGCCAATCCTCAACAGAAATGCACACAACAATGAAAACCTCGGACAGGAGGAAGAGTGCCGCCGGGCGGGCAGGCAGGTGTCTTGCTCGGCTGTGGCTTGAGGGGGCACTTTTTTCAGTGCCATTGTAACTTCGAACAGTCACTAAGCGAACTGTTGTAAGTCGAGGACTACCTGTACTTTATCACTTTTTTCCTTTTTTGGTCATCGAGTTTTTGACACCTTGCTAGGCGACTGGTGGTACTCGGATGTCGCCATATCCTAAAAGTGGTACAATGGGTGAAAAGGTTGAAAAGCCCTGTGCTAAACAATTCTTTCTGACCATTTGCTTAAACGACACGGTTGGTGCTAGAATACGGACATGGTTAAGAGCCGATCCTGGCTTGATTTGTCAAGCTCAACAAGTACCTGTAATGTAAGACCGTGGTCCTTTAGCTAAAAAGATTGCCGAAGCAAGCTGCAGTTTGATTGTTGGTTATTTTAGAACAGTTTCTTTCTCGTGAAACGTCTTCCATAGATCCTCACTGGCAAATTCCACCAGATAACAGACTTTAGCAATTCCTCTAGTATTTGTGATCGAAATGCCCAGGACCCCTCCCTCCCCCCGTCAACTAACTTGTCTATCAACCCTCCTGGACACCAGACAATGATTTTCTTCATGCAGAGTTTGTATAAATGACATTAAGAGTTAGTGACCATCTAAGTCATTATCAGACCAATGATATGAGTTACAGAACAAATTTCTAAAGCACAATACTAAAGACAACAAGGAGACAAAAGAGGGAAGTCTACAGCAGAAGGCGGAAAGACTGGAGACGCACGACAACATCTACACACACTGCAACTGGAGAGGAGAAATAAAATAAACACACAGAGAGGCAAAATGAGAAGTCACAGACAGCATCGTCATCACCTTGAATCATACTGTGGGAGCGGAGAGGAATAGCTGCAAAATAATTTAGAAAGCAAATTGGGGAAAAATTAATATGAGATTATTAGAAGCAAGCAACGAAAATGTTGATCATAAACAAAGGCAATATCACAAAAGCAAAGCATTTCCGTTTTGGTCATAGGTGGTGGAGAGAGGCGGGGGTTATTTCCCTGTTTTAAAAGCGAAAGAGATTATGGGATAGCGATATGCATTTTGCTGAAATTAAAACCTTTGCTCAAAACCTGGGCGGAGATGTGGATCCATGCTCTGGTAGGGGATAGGAAAAAAATTAAGGACTATTTTGCATTGGAACCTGGATTATGTTAAGGGACGTAACACTGATAGCAAATGGTGTTTGGTTGATTTGAGCAAGTATTTTAAATGTTTGAGGAGACAAGTGATCTGAAACAATGCCACACTGTGAGGGCATATGTTTAGCTTGATTTTGGCTTAGTTTGTTGCTTGATCCCGGCTCCTACTGGTCGAAGCTCCCAATTGATGGTTTATTGCAGGGCTTTTCAACCAGTGGTACGGGTACCACCTGTGGTACACTGGCACCTGGCAGGTGGTACGTGACCATCCTAGAAAAATGGTAGCAGGGGAGGGGAATGAGCTGAACCGGTGGCAGCACCGCACAAGCCTGAGCGAGAGATCGCTGGAGCTGCAGGGCTGTCAGGGCTCAGTGGAAGCGACAGGATCAGCGCCAGGCTCCACATGGAGCTCGGCGCTGATCCTGGCACTTCTGCTGAGCCCAGAAGAAGCGCCGATCAGCTGGAATGTTGCAGCCTCTCCAGGGTCTTGTGATTTACATTCAGATGCTTGGCAACTGGTTCATATTTATGACGGTCACAGTGTCCCAGGGTCTTGTAAAGTGACCAAAACCTGCTGCAACCACCCAGCAGATGGGGGGAATAAAAACCAAACACCCTCCCCACCCCACCCCTGCTGCCAATCCTCAACAGAAATGCTCACAACAATGAAAACCTCGGACAGGAGGAAGAGTGCCGCCGGGTGGGCAGGCAGGTGTCTTGCTCGGCTGTGGCTTGGTGGGCACTTTTTTCAGTGCCATTGTAACTTCGAACAGTCACTAAGCGAACTGTTGTAAGTCGAGGACTACCTGTACTTTATCACTTTTTTCCTTTCCTTTTTTTTTTTTTTGGTCATCAAGTTTTTGACACCTTGCTAGGCGACTGGTGGTAGTCGGATATTGCCATATCCTAAAAGTGGTACAATGGGT